TTCACTTGGCTTCTTAAAAGCTGCAAAATTAGATGCCTCAAAGAGGCCGGGGTCTAGGAAAGGAGTGTCAAGAGGCCTCTGGCAAATTTCAAGGGGCTCTTTCCATTTTGGTACCAGGCGAAGCTTATCATAAGATTAATGAGCTGGCCGTCAAGAGGCTTCAGGAAGGACTTGTCTCAAGATGGGTGGAAGCTCTTGCTATCAACAGCCTAGTAGACACTCTGGCGCAATGGTCCTCATTAATAGCTGCTCCTTAGATAAAGGTGCTTAAATGAAGATTGACAGGTGTTGAAGTTAAAATATGGCATTGAAGTCAATGTAAAAGTAGAATTTTGTGACGCACATTGTGATGCCTGTAAGATGCATGCATATTAATTTAAAGGCGTTTCTTTTGTTCGGTACTCTGTTTTCTGGACTACTAGCAGGATCCATATCCGGTTGGCGCCAACCGAGAATAAACCGTGCTTTTACAGTCCTCAGGAACTCTCTTTGTCTCTTTTCCTCAAACCTTCTCCTTGCCATTTCATAATGATGGATCTGGACCAAACTTGGCACGAATACTCAATATGCCCAAATGTGAACAGGGTGCTTTGATTATGCTTTTCCTGCATGGCAGAGGATGGAGTGGAAGGCCTTTGAGGTATCTTCTGGCTCTGTTCTACAATCACTGAACTCACCATCTTTGCTAATGTCACAGCTGCCAACGATGCCTATGTGACCTTGTTCCAACGTAAGAGGCCCATGGGAACGAAACTCTCCCGTCCTGATATCCCATAACTTGACGTCTTCATCCCAACCTGCTGTACACAAGTAATGGCCATCCAAGGAGAAACAGCAATCTGCAACGGCGTTGTTGTGTGCACTGAAAAAGACATTATAGTCACTACACTGGGATTCTATAGCATTTTACAAGATAATACAGTAGAGTCTTGCTTATCCAATCTTTCCTCATACAACATTCTGTATTATCCAACACAGTCTAGGGTGGGAGAAAGAAAGAACATTTGTCTGTTTTGGTGCTAAATTCGTAAATACAGTGATTACTACATAATGTTATCGTGTATTGAACTGCTTTTTCTGTAGATTTGTTGTAAAGCATGATGTTTTGGTGCTTAATTTGTAAAATCATAATGTAATCATAACTTAATTTGACGTTTAATAGGCTTTTCCTTAATACCTCCTTATTATAAGCTAGGTTCTACTGTATATTCACATATATGTTGCTACTAGGGGTTTACAACAGGCTTTTTCAAAGTAATAGGGAGGATCAGAAGCTTTTCTGTTACAGCTGCCACAAATTAATTGGGTGTGTTATCAGTTCCTGCATATAACAAGGCACTAAGGTTTGCATGCTTTGAGCTTTGCATTTTAGCTTAGTTTGATAGCTCATTTTGAGCTGAAAAAACCTGGATGGCAAAGCACCCTGTTGGGGGTGCTTTGATTGAGTTTTGACTGCATGCCAGAAAGGGGTTGGATGGGTGGCCTCTGGAGTTGCTCCTATTGTTATTTCTATTATTTGAAACACAACAAGATGAGTCCATAGCAGACAAGATCATTCTGCTGGTTGTTGTATTGGATCACACATCAGACACTTGTCTAGGACTGTGTGATGTATCGGCGAATAATGTGTGCACATGCCAGTAAGGTGGCCTTCTGCAGTTGGCAGATGGTAATTTTGTCAGCGCCGATTGTGTTTAAGTGCAGGCCAAGGTCTTTAGGCACTGCACCCAGTGTGCCAACCACCACTGGGACCACCTGTACTGGCTTGTGCCAGAGTCTTTGCTGTTCAATCTTTAAATCCCCGTATCGTGTCAGTTTTTCCAGTTGTTTCTCTTCAATCCTGCTGTCACCTGGGATTGCAACATCGACAATCCATACTTTGTTATTATTATTACTATTACATTTATTATTTTATTCTCTTTATTATTGTTGGAAGGATACGTCAGTACATTTACACTGAAGAAGGTTAGAATAATGATTTAATCAGAGTTGGGCAGTCTTATCTTAAATCAGAGTTTGATGTAAATATTTAAAAACTTTTCTCCTCCTGATATCTCAATTAATGTAATTTTATTGGTATCTATTTGAATTTGAAATTTACCCATAGCTGCTGTATTTTTCACCCTCGGCTTATTTTTAATTTGAAATTTACCCATAGCTGCTGTATTTCTCACCCTCGGCTTATACTCGAGTCAATACATTTGACCCGACTGTGGACTGGACTGTGGTGCAGCTGGCTGGAAGTCAGCTGCATTAAGATCACTACTGACTGAAGGGTCATGAGTTCGAAGCCAGCCTGGGTCGGAGTGAGGAGTAGAAAATTTAGGTATAGCTTATGCGGGGAGGCTAATTTAACTAATTTACGATACCATAAAATCTCCGGTAAGCACGCAAAGAATGTGGAAGTACTCCATCAGTGTCACAAATGGACGGTGAAGCGACAGCTCCCCTGGTGGCCAGAATACCCCCATGAAGCTGAAATGTTAAATAGCCTCTGTATGTCTGTCTATATATGTTGTGTGTCTATGGCATTGAATGTTTACCATGTATATGTACATTGTAATCCACCCTGAGCCCCTGCAGGGAGAGAACGGTGGAATATAAATACTGGAAAAAAAATTTCCCAGTTTTTTTGTGGTAAAATTAGGTGCCTTGTCTTATATTCGGGTCGGCTTATACTCGAGTATATAGGGTATTTCATTGGTCTAAACTGGCTAATACAGATTTTAATTGGCTGTCTACGACTCTGACAAGCAGACAGTAGCTAACACTGACACAATTATAGTCTCTGACCCTGAGTACTTATTTGGAAAGTGTTTATGAGACAATCTTATCTGCTTTTCTGTTTCAGACACAGACTTCTAACGGCTGGGAAATTAGAGAGTGTGGTACTAGCTAGCCAGTCCTACTGCGTGAATTCATCCTTGAGAATAATCCACCTTTTACAAATCAAAACATATGGGACTTACAATCACTGGAAGCATCCATGAATATTCCATTTTAAAACTACATCTCCCTCAAAATGAAGGTGCATGAAAAATGTCAGTTGCAACATAAACATTTGATACGGAAGCCATTGTCACTGTTTTGCTTCTATCCATTCTGCAACACAATAAAGAGTAGTAGAACAACAAAGCAGATCATTGGCTGCATCGCAGTCTCTTACCGTTCGATTACTATAGTAGTGGACTGTGATATCATATCCCAGAATTTGATAGACATGTCAGAGGACACTGTGGCTATCCGTTGGTTGTGAGGATCAAAACGGCATTTTCTCACCGTGCTTCTGTGATGCTCTGAAAGTTTGCACATCTAAAGTTAGTAAACTGCTTTTTTCATGTTTCATTATTTTTTGAAAGAACGAGTGTATTTCTTTGATTCTAAGGTGCCATCATTGATTTGTAACACATTCCCTAATATTGGTACCAACACCAAGAACAAAAATACATTAGATGCATCAGTGATTCTAAGATGCAGCCAATTTTTAGAGCTGCTTACATTTATTTATTTATTTATTTATTTATTTTGGGGGGGGTTATATCTTAGAAGGGAAGAAATATAGAAGTTGCTATTTTCATGGCTACTCGCAACTTGATTTTTGATTTTGTCATTTGGGAGTTGTAGTTGCTGGGATTGATAGTTAATTTAAAATCAAAGAGTATTCTGAACTCCACCAATGATGGAATTGAACCAAACTTGGTGCACAGAATTCCCATGATTAACAGAAAATACTTGAAGGGTTTGGTGGGCATTGACCTTGAATTTTGCAGCTGTAGTTCACCTACATCCAAAGGGCATTGTAAACCCAAACAATTATGGATCCAGACCAAACTTGACAGGAATACTCAATATATCCAAATGTGAACACTGGTGGAGTTTGGGGAAAATAGACCTTGACATTTGGGAGTTGTTGTTGCTGGGATTTATAGTTCACCTACAATCAAAGAGCATTCTGAACTCCACCAACGATGGTGGAATTGAACCAAACTTGGCGCACAGTTCTCCCATGAGCAACAGAAAATACTGGAAGGGTTTGGTGGGCAGTGTCCTTTGGTTTTGGAGTTGTAGTTCACCTACATCCAGAGATCACTGTGGACTCAAACAATGATGGATCTGGACCAAACTCTACATGAATACTCAATATGCCCAAATGTGAACACTGGTGGAATTTGGGGGAAATAGATCTTGACATTTGGAAGTTGTAGTTGCTGGGATTTATAGTTCATCTACAATCAACTAACACTCTGAATCCCACCAACAATAGAATTAGGCCAAGCTTTCGACACAGAACCCCCATGATCAACACAAAATACTGTGTTTTCTGATAGTCCTTAGTGACCCCCCAGGGGTCTCAACCTGCACTAGGTAAACATTACTTAATTTAAGCAAAAATCTGAGCAAGAAGCCATGAGGTCGTACCTTTGACACCTGAGTTTCAAGGATTTCTCACGGAGTCTTTCTGAATGCCTAATTAATGTGTCCTTTACTCCCTCCATGCAGAGGCCTAATCTGATATCGTGGAAAAACTCCCCATCTGCTAAATCTTCTGAAGGTCGATTCCCATGGGAAACGGACATTTCCCCAGTTGCTAAGGAATGGACATTGGAATCCAAAACATCTTTTGAGTCCTCTTCAACTGCCTGAATTTCTCTTTGATCTAAGGTCTGCAATTCATCCAAATCACACACAGACTCCTCAGTGGGAAACTCATCATCCCCCTCGTCCTCTGAGCAATCTCCAGTATCTTACTGCGGAGCCCCAACAGGACTGTTGGTTAACACATCACAAGCAAACTATACCATGGTATGTTGTTATAATATGAAAATGTGATTGACAAATAGAGTTGCTTTCATGGAAAGAGGAAAGCCAAAGGCCACCCCAGACTTATACATGAGTACATTGGGTCATTTAAAAAGAAAATGGCTTGAAGAACTTCCGTTGAAACAAGTTTCTCACTAGGAATGAATAAAAAGATGTCAACCAAAGTCTAAAGATATTACCTCTGATGTATGCCACTGGTTTAGCATGCTCCATATCACAGATGAATAAAGCATTTTCCAAATCTGAACCCGAGATGACATATTTACCATCATGAGAAATATCACATGTGGTTATAACTCCATCCTGCTCTAAAGACCACTAAAGAGGAAGACAAGAACTGTTAAGTTTATACTTCTTCAAGAGGAAAAACAAATAACAGCCTAGCATATAAACATTTGTCTAAATTTAGGTATAACTAATATTTAGAGACACGAATAAAGTTTAAAATGGATGTGTGAGGTTGGATCTACACTGCCATATAATCCAGATTATTATCAAAACAGCTAATCCAGATTATCTGCTTAGAACTGGATTATATGAGTCTACAGTGCCATAACATCCAGATTATCAAAGCAGTTAACCCAGATTATCTGCTTTGAACTGGATTATTTGAGTCTATGCTGCCATATAAAACAGATTATCAAAGCAGCTAATCCATTTTATCACTTTGAACCGGATTATATGAGTCTACACTGCCATAACATCCAGATTATCTGCTTTGAACAGGATTACATGAGTCTACACTGCCATAATATCCAGATTATCTGCTTTGAACCTAATTATATGAGGCTACGCTGCCATATAAAACAGATTATCAAAGTAGCTAATCCAGATTATATCTTCTTGAACTGGATTATATGAGTCTACACTGCCATAACATCCAGATTATCAAAGCAGTTAATCAAGATTATCTGCTTTGAATATGATTATATAGTCTACACTGGCATAACATCCAGATTTATCAAAGCAGTTAATCCAGATTATCTCCTTTGAACAGGATTATATGAGTCTACACTGTCATAACACCCAGATTATCAAAGCAGATAATCTGGATTTTATATGATAGTGTAGAAGGGGCCAGAGTCACAAGTCTTATTAAATTGGGATTTAGTCATGACATTGTTTACCTGCATTGGACATACTGTATAAAGAAACGAAAAGTAACTAAAGTAACTAAAGTTCCTGACCAAACTGGATCTTTCACAAAAATGAAAGCAGTTTCCAATATGATTAACAGTTTAGGTCTTTTCCTTATAATGTTTTTCCGATCAGAAATAACCCACAATGTTGTAGCGGATACACAACAGACCAGGCACACGTTTCTATCAGTAAGTTCTCACAAAACTACTAGAAGACAGAAAAAGTTTTGCTTTCCTGTTTTTCATCTAGATCTAGAACAAAAGTTCCATGATTAGTAGAGAGACTGTCAAAAAATTGATTACATACAAGCATTTTTCCTGTCTCAATGTCCCAGGCCTTTAGACTCTTATCATACGATGCTGTTATCAACCTAGATAATAAAAGGAATTGCATGTTCAAAGACAGCAAAAACGAGTTATTTGTATATTTTGTTGGTGCTGTAGAGTACGTGAATTGTTGCCTCTATTAGTCCTTACATGTGCATCTAACAAAAGGCCAAGAAAGCACTGTGGTCTCCAGTAATAATGATGATGATTAAGATAATAATAATAATAATAATAATAATAATAATGAACATTGGCACTTTTATTGAAAATATGACCAAGCACTGGAAAACTGAACTGTTTGTTGGAAATGAAAACTATGGACTTGTCAACATCAAAAGAGGAATTTTCCAGGGAGACTCATTGTCCCCACTGCTTTTCACCATTGCCATGATCCCTCTGTCAACAATCTTACAAAAAACAAACTTCGGCTATCAAACATCTCAGACATCTCACAAAATTTCACATCTGCTGTACATGGATGACCTGAAGCTGTATGGGAAAACCGAAACTGAAATCCAGTCTCTGACTAACACGGTCCAAATCTTTAGCACAGATATCAACATGGAGTTTGGTTTGGACAAATGTTCGACAGTGGCACTGAAGAACGGAAAAATCATTGAAAGTGAGGGCAGAAATATGCCCAATGGCCAAGCAGCCAGAGGCCTATAAATATCTGGGCATACTACAGCTGGACAACATCAAACATGAACACGTGAAAACTGTGGTCAGCAAAGAATACATTCAAAGGGTTAGAAAAATTCTCAAAAGCAAGCTCAATGGAGGCAACACCATCAAGGCCATAAACACCTGGGTCATACCCGTCATAAGATATACTGCTGGCATCATAAACTGGACACAGGCAGAACAGGGCAATTTGGACAGAAAAACTAGAAAACTCATGACAATTCATAATTCATTACATCCTCGCAATATGTTGATCGGCTCTATCTACCTAGAAAGTCTGGTGGCAGAAGACTTTTACAAGTAAAACAAGCAGTCGAAGAAGAAAAATACACCCTGGCAGGATATGTCAAGGAAAGCCAAGAACCTGCTTTAACTGAAGTCAATAATCGGAAACTTCTCAAAGCACAGCAGACAAAGAGTCAGTACAAGAAAACTGCACTCCAAACCAAAGCTGACAACTGGTACAACAAAGCATTGCATAGACAGTTCCTTGACAAAATTTAAGGAAAAGTTGTCAGGGAGAAGACCTGGTTATGGCTCACGAATGGAACCCTGAAGAAGGAGACAGAAGGCCTGATTCTTGCAGCCCAGGAGCAAGCCATCAGAACCAATGCCATTAAGGCCAGGATTGAAAAATCAGCAGATGACCCAAAATGCAGACTGTGCAAGGAAGCTGATCAAACCATGGACCATATTCTCAGGTGCTGCAAGAAAATCACACAGATGGACTACAAAGACACAACTCTGTGTCCCAGATGATTCACTGGAACTTATGTCACAAGTACCACCTGCCAGCAGTAAAGAATTGGTGGGATCATAAACCCGCAAAGGTCATGGAAAATGAACATGCAAAAATATTGCGAGACTTTCGAATCCAGACTGACAAAGTTTTGGAACACAATACACCAGACATCATGATTGTGGAAAAGAAAAAAGTCTGGATTATTGATGTCACCATACCAGGTGACAGTCGCATTGAGGAAAAACAACAAGGAAAAACTCAGCCGCTATCAAGACCTCAAAATCGAACTGCAAAGGCTCTGGCATAAACCAGTGCAGGTGGTCCCAGTGGTCATTGGCACACTGGGTGCCGTGCCAAAGATCTCCGCCGGCATTTGAAAAGAATTGTGTGCTGTCGCCCGCTGGGCCTGTGCATAAGACTGTAGACAGGACATAAATTCTGTGTGCCCAATGGGACGCCGGGGCTGCCTCAGATTAAAGGCTTTTGGATTTCCTTAAACAGAGTCTTTAGATTGCTTAAAGGTTCAACAAAGTTCTTTATTATTGAAATCAAACAGGTACTTCAAGGCTTTCTTAATAGTCTATTGGCTCTCTCAATCTTGTCCACAGGGAACAGGCACTATCTTCATAACTGTATTTTAACTAATGGGGAAATCCTTAACCTCTTATCTGGGCAGTCTGTCTTTGCCTCTGTTGGCATGGAGCCCCTGCACCCGGTACCAACTGCTTCTGGCTGCCGCGAGTGACCCTTACCAAGCAGAGCTTTGTAGACTTCCAGGGGAAAAGAAGGTGTTCAGATTTCAGTGATGGCTGGCTGAAGGGCTGTGGGACCGGATTCCCTCAGCAAAGGAGTTGTAAGGCTGTAAAATCCTCAGCAAAGGAGCTGTGTTGAGACTGTATCTCCCCGGCTAAGCCATGGGGCTGTATCTCCCCGGCCAAGCCGTAGAAGACGAAGCTTTCTACAGGAGCTCTTGGTATTACGTCCTGCATGAAAGGCTTCTCTGTGTGGACTGAACTCAAAATGGCTCCAATTCCTCCAAAACCCAAAAGGGGGTGGGACCAGGGAACCTAACGATAATTGACAGATGGCTTGCCCTATGATTGCAGCCAAAAGAAGCCACCTATCTGCAGAGCCCCTGAAACTCAGGACTACACAGTGGTCATCGAAACACTGGGTGCCGTACCAAAAGATCTCAGCCAGCATTTGGAAACAATAAACATTGACAAAATCACAATCTGTCAACTGCAAAAGGCCACCTTACTTGGATCTGTGCGCATCATTCGAAAATACATCACACAGTCCTAGACGCTTGGGAAGTGTTCGACTTGTGATTTTGTGATATGAAATCCAGCATATAGATCTCATTTGCTGTGACATACTGTGCTTTTGTGTCAACAACAACAACAACAACAATTAATTAATTAAATACAAGAAGCGTCCATTAAAGATTTCCCCTGACCCACTTCCTTGAAGTACCTGTTTGATTTCAGTAATAAAGAACTTTGTTGAACCTTTAAGTAATCTAAAGACTCTGTTTAAGGAAATCCAAAGGCCTTTAATCTGAGGCAGCCCCGGCAGCCCCTGTGGACTAAGAGCAATGAAACTTGGCACAGTTGGAAACTTGGCACGGTTCTGAGTCCTTCTCTCCATCAGAGTCACCTAGGGACACACATTTCTCCCATCTTTTGAAGCAACTGTAAACACCTTGTTTGTAGAAGTCAACAGGTTGTTTCAAAAGCCATGTTATGACTTCAGAAATCAGAGTCTCATCATCTGTGTCTGCAGTAATCTTTGCACTTAGAAATACAAAGTCTGTCGCTGCCTCCACATTTTCTCTCTCTATTTACAAGTTATCCATCAGTCTGGTTGCCATAATCTTGGTTTTGTTTTGTTTTTAACTGCAACCCAGCTTTTGCACTTTCTTTTTTCACCTTGATTAGAAGGCTCCTCATCTTCTCGCTTTCGGCCATCAAAGTGGTATCATCTGCATATCTAAGGTTGTTAATGTTTCTTCCAGCAATTTTCACCCCAGCCTTGCATTTGTCAAGCCCCGCACATCGCATGATGTGTTCTGCATACAAGTTGAATAGGTTGGGTGAGAGTATACAACCCTGCTGTACGCCTTTCCCAATCTTGAACCAGTCTGTTGTTCCATGGTCAGTTCTGACAGTTGCTACTTGGTCATAAGGACAAATTCCTCAGGAGAGAGACAAAGTGGCTTGGTATCCCCAGACCACCAAAAAAATTGCCACAATTTATTATGATTCACACAGTCAAAGGCTTTAGAATAGTAAATAAAACAGAAATAGATGTTTTTTTAAATGACGTAGTAATATATGCAATATAACAGAATATAACAGAATGACCACCTTCGATTATCTGGACTCAAGCAGCATTCAGAAACTGGCCCAGTGTGCTCATTCTCAAACGTCTGGATAGGGAGAGCACTGACAGTATCCTTTAATCATAAAGACAGGTTTAGATGTTAAGTAGTTCATAACTGTAAAACAAAAAGTGCAAAATATAAGTATGACACTGCGGACAGGAAGGGGCTGTTTTCAATGGACAATCACACCCTGTTCTACTCTGGAAATGACAATCTAAAAGGACATACACACATTACATTTATCATACAGTGGCCTTCGCAATGCACAGAATGAATTCCTTCAAACATTAAAATAATTTTAATATGGACCCCTGTAAAACAAACTGAAAGATGTAATTTTTTAAAAAATTGCAGTATGTTCCTTAATGAAGTGAGCATGTAGGTTCTCAGCTGTCAATGTAAATTGGGCTCTGGAGTACGTGACAAATGGTTGTGCATCAGCTAACGATTTCTGAGGTCTACAGTCCATATACTATACTATACTATACTATACTATATTATACTATACTATAAATATATAATTAATACATTATATGGATGACACAAATCTTTGTGCATGGGCAGAATGGAAGGAGAAGAGACAAATGGCTGCATATCAGCTAACGATTTCTGAGGTCTACAGTCCATATACTATACTATACTATACTATACTATACTATACTATACTATACTATAAATATATAATTAATACATTATATGGATGACACAAATCTTTGTGCATGGGCAGAATGGAAAGAGAAGAGACAAATGGCTGCATATCAGCTAACGATTTCTGAGGTCTGCAGTCCATATAATATAATATAATATAATATAATATAATATAACATAATACAATATTAATATAATATAATATAATGTATAATTAATATATTATAAGGATGACACAAATCTTTGTCCAGTGACAGAACAGAAGAAGAAGAGACAAATGGCTACATTTCAGCTAAAGATTTCTGAAGTCTGCAGTCCATACAATATAATACAATACAATATTATAAATGTGAATCTTGCAATTGGCCAGGATGGTTAGCATTGAATAACCTTGCAGCTTCAAAGCCTGACTGCTTCCTGCCTGGGGGAATCCTTTGTGGTATTAAGGCAGGAAGCAGCCAGGCTTAGAAGCTGCAAGGTCATTCAATGCTAATCAAGGTGGCCAATTGCAACATTCACACTTGCCTCCAACAGACAAGAGTTATTTCTCCCACCTTTGACATTTCACAGATATATAAACCTCGCTTTCCTTGTTTCCAACAGACCTCACAACCACTGAGGATGCCTGCCATAGATGTGGGTGAAATGTCAGGAGAGAATGCTTCTGGAACATGGCCAGACACCCCGGAAAACTCACTGCAACCTAGTGATTCCGGCCATGAAAACCTTCGACAACACATTTGTTTTGATATGCTAAATCCTGGTTCTGATTTTAAAACAATCTAATTACTTACTTTGGGTTTATAGCAAACTTACCCAGAGTTTCACAGTGCTGTCATACGAGCCTGAAATGACTTTTGTGTCTTCGAAACAGAAATGACAGGAAGTCACGGTATCAGCATGTCCTCTTAAGATTTTGAAATGAATCTGTTGAAAGGAAAGGTCTCACCGTTACTACACCGTTGCAATGAGAGCTACTTATTAAATACTAGCCGTCCCCGCCACGTGTTGCTGTGGCCCAGTCTGTGTATATGTGTTTTTTGTGTGTGTATATATGCATATATGTCTGTGTGTATATATGTGTTTGCATATATATATGTGGTTTTATGTATGAGTTGTAATATAATTTTTGCTTTTGGACTTTTTAAGTCCCTTCTGCTGTGTTTTTCAGGGTTTTTATGAGTGGTGGTCACTTGTTGGCCTTATAGATGTATTGTGTCCAAATTTGATGTCAATTCATCCCGTGGATTTTGAATTATGTTAATCCCACAAACAAACATTACATTTTTATTTATATACTAGCCAGCCCCTGCCATGCGTTGCCGTGGCCCAGTCTGTATATATGTGCTTTGTGTGTGTATATGTGCATATATGTGTGTGAATATGTGTGTTTTTGGCTTTTAAGTCCCTTCTGCTGTGTTTTTCAGTGTTTTTATGAGTGATGGACACTTGTTGGCCTTATAGGTGTATTGTGTCCAAATTTGGTGTCAGTTTGTCCAGTGGTTTTTGAGTTAAGGTAATCCCACAAACATTACATTTTTATTTATATACTAGCCGTCCCCTGCCATGCGTTGCTGTGGCCCAGTCTGGTGGTCTGGAAAATAATGAGAAAGTGTTGGTTTCAAATATATGTGATTTCTTAATGCTTGTGGGTAAACAGTATTTCTTGCTGTTTGTTTGTCAGTATTGATGTGGAGATTGTCTGGTTTGCCCACTTTGGAACATGCAACATATAATTGTCCTTCTTTAGGGGTTCCTTTCAAATCTATGATACTATATCTCTCTGTGTGTGTGAATCATACATATCTATATCTATAGCTGGATGGGTCTTTGTCAGGAGGGCTTTGTTTATGTTTTCTTGCACTGGTGAAGGGGGTTGGACTGGATGGCCTTAAGTATTTTCTGTTGGTCATGGGGGTTCTGTGTAGGAAGTTTGCCCCAATTCTGTCGTTCGTGGGGTTTAATGCTCTTTGATTGTAGGTGAACTATAAATCCCAGCAACTACAACTCCCAAATGTCAAGGTCTATTTCCACCAAACTCCATCTGTGTTCATATTTGGGAATATGGAATATTCATGCCAAGTTTGATCCAGATCCACCATTGTTTGAGTCCACAGTGCTCTCTGGATGTAGGTGAACTACAACTTCCAAACTCAAGGTCAATGCCCACCAATCCCTTCTAGTGTTTTCTGTTGGTCATGGGAGTCCTGTGTGCCATGTTTGGTTCAATTTAATAATTGGTGGAGTTCAGAATGGTCTTTGATTGTGGGTGAACTATAAATCCCAGCAACTACAATTTCCTAAAGACAAAATCAATTTTTTTAGTGATGGTCACTCCTTGGGTTAGTAGGTGTCTTGTGGCCAAATTTGGTGGCAATTCATCCAGTGGTTTTTGAGTTATGTTAATCCCACAAACGAACACTACATTTTTATTTATATAGATGACTAGCCGTCCCTTGCCACGAGCTGCTGTGGCTCAGTCTGTGTATATATGTTTGTGTATGTGTGTATATATGTGTGTATATATTTGTGTATATGTGTATATATGTGTGTTTGCATATATATATGTGGTTTTGCGCATGTGTTGTACTTTTTTTTTTGGCTTTTAAAGTCTCTTCTGCTGTGTTTTTCAGTGTGTTTATGAGTGATGGTCACTCGTTGGCCTGATAGGTTTGTGTCGAAATTTGGTGCCAATTCGTCCAGTGGTTTTTGAGTTATGTTAATCCCACAAACAAACATTACATTTTTATTTATATAGAAGATGATTTTCTGTTGGCAAGCAGATGGCGAATACTGGATGGCATGCCATATGTTCTGTATCCAAAACTAGAGCTGATGTGGTCTATCCAATGCAAATTTCTGAATAAGCACCCCAAATAACCAAACTGAATCTAAAGTTCTGATTTGCAACCCTTTTGGTACTAATGTTGGAGAGTGGTCAAAGTGGTCCGTGGTCAAAATGGTCCATGGTCAAAAAAAAGGTTGGGAATCACTGATATAGACTGAGAAGTTTCTCATTAGGTTCACAAGATACACCTACACATGTCCAGTATGAGTTTTTGTGTGCAAAAACTCAAATGTTTTTGCACACAAAACACAGGTGAAACTGGGGAATGGGCAACTGGCTCCCTGCGGCCTCACCTTGGCAAGCTTCTCGTGGTCCCCTTCCCACATCTCCAGCGATGGGCCTGAAACAGCCAAGGGGTCGCTCTCCTGGATTGACTTCCGAGGCGCCTTTGGGGAGGGAGACCCCTTCTTGGCGGCCTTCCCCGACATAGCTGCCCTTAGCCATCGCTCTCTTCGCTTGACAGTATCCTCACTCGACATGATTACAGCACTGTATCTTCGCTCCAACTGCCGTGCTGCCTCTTGTAGAACCCTGGGCTTTGCAGTTAAGGGGTCAGCCTTTAACATTCTCACCTTCTGGGCCTTGTGGAACTATAAAACCCAAAATTCCAGTTAAAGTGGAACAACAGCAAATTTTAGCAACGCTGTGTGATAATCTCCTGAGACACAAGGAGTTCCAAAAAAAGAAGTCCTGCTCCCCACTCTCAGTTGTGCTTTCCACTTATATCTTAATACAGTGATACCTTGACTCAAGAGTTTAATTTGTTCCATGACCAATCTGAGCAATAGTTCTTAACTCAAAATGCTCTTAAGTCAGGACACTCTTGGTCCTACTGTACTACATGATAGTTTTTGTTTGTTCTTAAATGGAATCATGAGGCTCCCTGGTGTGCAGCGGGTTTAACCGCTGAGCTGCTGAACTTGCTGACCGAAAGGTTGACAGTTCGAATCCAGGGAGTGGGGCGAGCTCCTGCTGTTAGGCCCAGCTCCTGCCAATCTAGCAGTTTGAAAACATGCAAATGTGAGTAGATCAATGGGTACCACTCTGTCGGGAAGGTAATGGTGCTCCATTCAGTCATGCAGCCACATGACCAGGTGGTGTCTACGGACAACACTGGCTCTTCGACTTAGAAATGGAGATGAGCATCACCCCCAGAGTCTGATATGACTAGACTTAATGTCAGGGGAAACCTTTACTTTTACTAAACAGAATCACATAAGTTGGAAGAGACCATCAAGAGCCATCCAGTCCAACCCCAGAGGAGACTCCACCACATTCCTCCAAGGCAGCATATTCATATCTATATCTATATAATTTTATTGAATACTTATCTTACTTGTACATAAAATTCAGGATCAAGAAGGTAAAATGTGGGTAAGAAGGGTAGGGTTGAGGTAGGGCTATTCTTGTTAAGGTGGAATTCCTTTCCCTGCAATTCGAATCCATCGCTCCATTGTGTCTTAGTCTCAAGAGCAGCAGGAAACAATCTCGTTCCCTTCTCCTCGATGGAAATATCATTAGGAAGAGTGGGGAGGTGGAAAACGCTGCAGAACATCAGTAGAAACCTTCTGGGTTCCCCGTCTTGGACAAACGAGCTACATATGCCTCACAGACCAAAACTAGTGTGCTAGGAGACGTGCTCACATCCTCAGTATTGCAGGATGAGTCAACTGAAAGCACATCTACTTTCTATATAGGGGCTGTGGGCATCTTATTTATCTTATGCTGGTTTAGCAGAGAAGAGTGAGTTACTGTCTTTGCCATGGAAGATGCCCATAAGGAACAACAAGGAACAATGTGCTCAATGGTGGTATGTATGCAAGGCAAACATGTTGGGCGAGTGGGCTTATTAACAAAAGACCCTCCTCATAAATGCAGAGCAGAGTAACTTATTAGCAGCATAGCCCAGCACCAGTAGCCCAAGTGATAAAAAGAACAAAAACACAAGAGACCAATGTTATCTCTTCCAGAGGAGGCTTTTCTTTATAGCAAAATAATAGGGTTGCACTATTTACAAGGTTTCTATAACACAAATAAAGTTCTTTATACTTCCTTCTTTGCTTCCACGCTGGGCTTCTTTCTCATGCAGATAAACAGCTTCACTCTCACAGAGCCTCTTCTCACACTGTAGTTAGAGATTCACACAGTAGCTTTTACACACAGCAGCCTTCACACATGGCCTTCAACCCGGGGCTTCTCTCACCAAAGCTTCTCACACACCAGGCCTACTCCCACCGAGGCCTACTAACACTGAGGGTTCTCTCAGACTGACGCCTCTCATACTGAGGCGAACTAATGCTGAGGCCTTTCATACTGAAGCCTACGTAACACACTGAGGCCCTTCTCCCATAGAGACCTCTCACAGACTGAGGTCTTCTAACATTGAGGGCTCCCTCAAACTGATACCTTTCTCCCACTGAGGTAAACTAACACTGAGGCCTCTCATACTGAAGCCTACGTAACACACTAAGGCCCTTCTTCCACAGAGACCTCTCACAGTCTGGAGGCTGCTAACACTGAGAGCTCCCTCAAACTGATAGCTCTCTCACACTGAGGTGAAATAACACTGAGGCCTTCTCATACTAAGGCCTATTAACACAGAGAGGCCCTTCTTCCGCAGAGATCTCTCACAGACTGGAGGCTGCTATCACTGAGAGCTCCCTCAAATTGATAGCTCTCTCACACTGAGGTGAAATAACACTGAGGCCTTCTCATACTGAGGCCTACTAACACACCAAGGCTTTTCTCCAACAGAGACCTCTCACAGACTGAGGGCGAACTAACACTGAGGCCTTCTCACAGAGGATGAACTAAGACTAAGGGCTACTAAGCTACAGGCACACCTGCTTATATAGAACTATAGCTTTGGCTGACTCATTGCATCCATGTAACCCTTTCAGTGCTTGATTCACGCTTTTGTAATTAAAAATAACTAGTTTCCTTTAATATTTTTGACAAGCCATTTCACTGGTGATGCTCCACATTTCCTGAATAAAAAAGTGAAGACAAAATCATGTTGGGGAGCTTTGCAGGAAAATCAGTGATGTTGGCTGTGTTCCCCTTTGTATTCTGCAAGCCAATTGCCTCAATTCCAGCTATCTGCAGTACTTCCAAGTTTGGGTTTCTTTCTCCACAAACATTTAATTGCATAAATGCAAGGCTTCTTTGAGTGCGGATACCTTCCGTTTGGGCACATATGGTGCCACCTAAGCCACAGAACTCAAAACATATCCAACCAAGGAAATTATTGTAATTCAGGGGAAACTAAAAGTACAGCAGGAGACGGTTAAAGTGTAAGGCAAGTAAAACTCAATATTGTTGACTTACAATCCTCTCATGTCCACATATAAAGCTCTTCAATGACTTTAAAGCGTTAGGGCAGTTTCTCAACCTGGGGGTTGGGACCCCTGGGGGAGTCGCGAGGGTTTCAGTGGGGTCACCAAAGATAATCAGAAAACACATATTTCTGATGGTCTGAGGAACCCCTTTGGCAGAGAAGGCTGAAGATCTCGCTGCCTGTCCTTCTCTTCCTTTTTGGAAACAGACGGCGAATCCTCCCACCAAAAGCCTTCCTTCCACTCTCTGGGTGTAGGTGAACTACAACTCCAAAACTAAAGGACCATAGATTGTGCTGGAGAAGGATGCTCTTTGATTGTAGGTGAACTATAAATCCCAGCAACAACAACTCCCAAATGTCAAGGTCTATTTTCCCCAAACTCCACCAGTGTTCACATTTGGGAATATTGAGGATTTGTGCCAAGTTTGGTCCAGATCCATCATTGTGAGTCCACAGTGCTCTCTGGATGTAGGTGAACTACAACTCCAAAACTCAAGGTCAATGCACACCAAAACCTTCCAGTATTTTCTGTTGATCATGGGAGTTCTATGTGCCAAGTTTGATTCAATTCCATTGTTGTGGAGTTCAGAATGCTCTTTGATTGCAGGTGAACTATAAATCCCAGCAACTACAACTCCCAAATGACAAAATCAAACCCCCCCCCAACCCCACCAGTATCCAAATTTGTGTCTATTGGATATTTGTGCCAAATTTGGTCCAGTGAATGAAAATACATCCTACATACCAGATATTTACATTACGATTCATAACAGGAGCAAAATCACAAGTTACGAGGTAGCAACGAAAATAATGTTATGGTTGGGGGTCACCACAACATGAGGAACTGTATTAAGGGATCGCGGCATCAGGATGGTTGAGAAATACTGCATTAGGGAAAAGATTGGTAAAATCGTTTTATTAAAATGTCCTCATGCAGAAATTTCCATGATCAATTTCAACATTGTAATATTTACAGTTGAAGACTCTTCTCCAGCATTCTACTTTTAAATCTGCATTTTAACTAAAACACACAAAAATCGACATATATTATTTTAGGCTATCAAATATCCAACATAAATACATTATATACAAGACATTCACATATGCTTTATGCTGCCGATCTGCCATCATAGAGGAGATGTTTTCCAATCACAAGATAAACAACGGCCAAGTATCCAAGCTACCGCTTTACAAGTGGAAGACTCTTCAGCCTAAATGAACAAGAAATTGAGAGAAAAGATACGAATTGATAAACGAGTGAAATAAACATTATAAAGTAGTTATCCATAGAATCCTAGAGTTGGAAGAGACCTCATGGGCCATCCAGTCCAACCCCATTCTGCCAAGAATCGCATTCAAAGCACCCCCGACAGATGGCCATCCAGCCTCTGTTTAAAAGCCTCCAAAGAAGGAGCCTCCACCACTCTCGTGGGCAGAGAGTTCCACTGCTGAACAGCTCTCACAGTCAGGAAGTTCTTCCTAATGTTCAGGGGAATCTCCTTTCTTGTAGTTTGAAGCCATTGTTCTGCATCCTAGTCTCCAGGGCAGCAGAAAACATGTGGCTTCCTCTCACATATTTATACATGGTTATCATGTCTCCTCTCAGCCTTCTTGTCTTCAGGCTAAACATGCCCAGCTCCTTAAGCCACTCCTCATAGGGCTTGTTCTCCAGATCCTTGATCATTTTAGTCGCCCTCCTCTGGACACATTCCAGCTTGTCAATATCTCTCTTCAATTGTGGTGCCCAGAATTGGACACAATATTCCAGGTGTGGTCTAACCAAGGTAGAATAGAGCATGGGGAGCATGACTTCCCGGGATCTAGACACTATAGAGGCTATTGATGCAGGCCAAAATCCCATTGGCTTTTTGTTAGTTTTGGCCACATTTCAAAAGTGTCTATCTTCCTTCCGATTAAACTGATCCCTCTCAAAAGTGGTTTTTACTGTGCTAAAGAAATGGTGTTGTGAAATGTATGAATGGTTAGTACTTTATTACCTTTTTATAAATTCTTTTGGTGATATATCTGCAGTCTCGCCATCACCGTTGCTGTCGCTGCTGCTATCGGCAGTGCGAGAGCCGCCGTTTCGTTCAGGCTTCTTGCTTTTGCTTTTGCTCTTGTGCTTGGATTTCTTGTGTTTCTTTTTCTGCAAAAAAGAAGTTTGGTTCTGATATTTATTATGTGATTCTTTGTATCTTGCAGTGAGAAACTCAACAAAATAAGAAGAGACTCTCAAGGAAAGCAGTAGATTTGCCCCTTTACTCTATGAATAAGAAGGAATAATGATTATTTCCTAGATAAAAGGGTTGAGAAAATAAATAATACTAAGACTGTCTTAGTAGTCCACCCAAAAAAGAATTCCTGTATTATGTTCAGTGGGTTTTACTTGTAGCCATGCTTTTATAGTATTTTTGTTGATAGAATAAATGATACAGGAATTGTATATGTTTTTATAATATATTTGCTTAAGAGAGCCTAGAGCGGGCATGGGACAACTTCAGCCCTGTCAGAAATATTAAAAATTAACTAGATATTTGTAATTACAAAAATGTGAGTAAAACAACGAAAAAGTTAAATGGATGCAATGACTCAGGAAAAGCTGCAGTTCTGTATAATCAGGTGTGCCTGTAGCTTAGTTCGCTCTCAGTCTGCAAAAAGCCTCAGTGTGAGAAGGCCTCAGTGTAAGTTCGCCCTCAGTCTGTGAGAGATCTATGGGAGAAGAACCTCAATGTGTTAGTAGGCCTCAGTATGAGAAGGCCTCAGTGTTATTTCGTCTCAGTGTGAGAGAGCTGTCAGTTTGGGGGAGCTCTCAGTGTTAGCAGCCCTCAATCTGTGAGAGGTCTCTGTGGAAGAAGGGCCTCAGTGTATTTGCCTCAGTTTGAGAGAGCTGTCAGTCTGAGGGAACGCTTAGTGTTAGCAGCCCTCAGTCTCTGTGGAAGAAGGGCCTCAGTGTATTCACCTCAGTTTGAAAGAGCCATCAGTCTGAGGGAGTGCTTAGTGTTAGTAGCCCTCAGTCTGTGAGATGTCTCTGTGGAAGAAGGGCCTCAGTGTATTCACTCAGTGTGAGAGAGCTGTCAGTTTGGGGGAGCTCTCAGTGTTAGCAGCCCTCAATCTGTGAGAGGTCTCTGTGGAAGAAGGGCCTCAGTGTATTTGCCTCAGTTTGAGAGAGCTGTCAGTCTGAGGGAGCGCTTAGTGTTAATAGCCCTGTCTGTGAGAGGTCTCTGTGGAAGAAGGACCTCTGTTTGAAAGAGCCGTCAGTCTGAGGGAGACCTCAGTGTTAGCAGCCCTCAGTCTGTGAGAGGTCTCTGTGGAAGAAGGGCCTCAGTGTGTTAGTAGGCTTCAGTATAAGAAGGCCTCAGTGTTAATTTGCCTCAGTGGGAGAAAGGCCTCAGTCTGAGAGAGCCCTCAGTCTGAGAAGGCCTGGTGTGGGTGAAGCTCCAATGTGTGAAGGCTGCTGTGTTAAAAAGATTGTGTGAAGCTCCTATGTAACTTCGGTGTGAGAAGAGGCTCTGTGAGAGCGAAGCTGTTTACCAGCATGAAAAAGAAACCCAGAGTGGAAGCAAAGAAGGAAGTGTAAAGGACTTTATTGGTGTTGTGGAAACCTTGTTCTTGTAAATAGTTAAACCATATTATAACATTAGTCTGTGTATTTTTGTTCTTTTTATCACTTTGCGCTACTTTATTTGTGTTATGGAAACCTTGTTCTTATAAATAGTACAACCATATTGTTTTGCTATAAAGAAAAGTCTCCTATGGAAGAGATAACATTGGTCGTGTGTTTTTGTTCTTTTTATCACTTTGGGCTACTGGCTGGGTCACGCTTCTGCTAATAAATTACTCTGTTGTACATTTATGGGGAAGGTCTTTTGTTAATAAGCCCATTCGCCCAACAAGCCCTTCAGGTGTTTTGGACTCCAACTCCCACAATTTGTTACAGCCAGTAGGAACAGCCTACTGGCTGTTAAGAATTGTGGGAGTTGGAGTCCAAAACACCTGGAGGGCTGAAGTTAGCCCATGCCTGCTCTACCTCCTCCAGTATCATCTATTTACCTGGAAGAGGATGAATGATTTCATATTCCATTTATTACAACAAATCACCTTTTCTTTCTTGGGTTTGTGTTCTCTTTTGGACTTGTGTTTTTCTCTGCTCTTCTTAGGCTTCTCTCTCTTAGAGGCTTCAGGGGAACTTGCAAGCTGTATTTCCGCAGGCTTCGAATGAGTGCCTAAAAGCAGCAGAACAATGAGAATGGGTAAAAAATAAATGAATCCAAAGCTACTCAAAGGGTGCCTGGTGTTTTTTACATTTCTGAATCTCTAAACTAGAAAATCTGCAATACTCTATACAAATTCTTGTGCATTTACCTCCACAGAGATATTAAATTCCTTGCACACATCCCTATAAAATACAAACTTAAATAGATATATAAATGCAAAAATATACATAGTTCTCCACAGATTTGCATATGCTGAAACATATTTACCAGAGTGAATAACAGGAGGCAATTTTGGTCCAAATTCTTCTCCTTGATCAATGGCTTCCTTCAAGGGCAGATTTACAACCAACAGAAGGTTCTGGTGTGGCGGCTCTATTTGCTTTAACACCTGATGGGCGATAAGAAGAAAGTGTTTGCACATATGTTGTCGAAGACTTTCAGGGCTGGAATCACTGGGTTGCTGTGACTTTTCTAGGAAACAATCAGGACCATCTAACACCTCCCAACAAAGGACTCCCCCAGACAGGAAACACCCAGACTTTGAAGCTTCAATGCCATTCAATGCTAATCAAGGTGGCCAACTGCAACATTCACGCATGCCTCAAACAGACATTATTATTTCTCCCACCCTGGACATTATTCCACAGATATATATGTCATCAGTTGGGGACCCCTCCCCCCTGCACCAACTACCGCTCTGGGCCAGAGTGAAGAGAGGGGGGGGGGGGGCAGAAGACAGTTCCACCTTGTTTCCTGTGCTATTCTAATAATATAACGTAATATAATATATTGTATGCATATATCGCATTGAGTCGCCTGTTAAGGGCTGAAAAATGCGGTATAGAAATGAAGCAAATAAAATATATCTATTATATAATGTAATGCAATATAATACTACTAATAATACGATATTATAATTATATATTTATCTATTACATGTAATATTACTAATAATATTACAATATAATGGTATAGTACAATATAGTAATATTTAATACTGATATTGTACTATGCTAATAATAATATATTGTATGTATATATATCTTGTAAGCCGCTCTGAGTCCCCTTCGGGGTGAGAAGGGTGGCATAAAATGTCGTAAATAAATTTTGATATATAAAACTCACTTGCCTAGTTTCCAACAGACCTCACAACCTCTGAGGATGCCTGCCATAGATGCAGGCGAACCGTCAGGAGAGAATGCTTCTGAAACATGGCCAAACTCACAGCAACCTGTGAGTTCCCGGCCAAAACAAAGTGTTGCTCAAACTCATTATTACCTTGAACATCAGGCAAAGGAGAAGAATGCTTTGTACTTTCAGAAGCGGATTCTGCCTCTGCCGCTGCTGCTTGCACTTCACCATCACTCTCTTCTTCTTCTTCTTCTTCTTCTTCTGAAGATGATTTTTCATCTGAGGAGCTGGCAAAGATGGCTTTAAACAGATCCATGGACGGTCTTGTTTCTTCTTCTTCTTCTGCTACTTCTTCATTCCTGCTCGTACTTTCACTTACTATCTGAAAACAAGAAGGAAGTATAAAGAACTTTATTTGTGTTATGGAAACCTTGTTTTTGTAAATAGTGCAACCATATTATTTTACTACAACGAAAAGCTTTCTATGGAAGAGTTAACATTGATCTGTGTATTTTGGTTTATTTGATCACTTTTGGCTACTGGTGCTGGGTCACACTGCTGCTAAGTTACTCTGGAGGAGGGTATTTTGTAAATAAGCCCACTCCCCCAACAAGATGGTCATCCACCCTCTGCTTAAATACCTCCAGAGGCAACAGGTCACAATTGCAACAAGGTATGGAGGTCTATCAGTTCCATCATCAATATTCTATAACCAGAAAATAAAGTGGAAAAATCAAGTAGATTAAAGAATGCACATTGAAAACATGGAGTCATTTATACCTCGTTGGCAACAGGTTCTTCTGTCTTTTTTTGGTCCATTTTTTCAACTGGCGGCTGCTCTTCCTGGACATCGACCTTTGACCTGGCTAAACTGATGAACTCACCAATAGCATCTTTCTTCTTCTTTTCTTTATCGGACACATCCCATCTTGATGGCTTCTTTGGTTCTTAAAAGAGACAAATATTCTTTTCAGGGTTATATATTTAAGATCTTTGGTCATATTGTTCATATTGTTCCATTATTATTATTTTGCTCATACTAGTTGTACCTGCCACACACTGCTGTGGCAAACCTTCCCTCCTTCTTTATCTCTTTCTTTCCCTCTCCTCCCCTCTTTCCTTTCCTTCTTCCTCTCCTTCCCTTTTCTTCTTTTCTTTCTCTCCTTTCTTCCTTCTCTACCTCTTTCCTTCTTTCCTTTGCTCTTTTCTTCCATCCTTCCTTCCTTCCTCTCTCTCCTTCTTTCCTTCCTTTCTTCTCTCTTTCCTTTCCCCTTTTTCTTTTCCTCCTCTACGTCTTTCCTTCCTTCCTTTGCTTCTATCCTTCCTTCTGTCTTTTCTTCCCTCCCTCTTTCTCTCTTTCTTTCTCTTCTTCCTTCGCTCCCTCTTTCCTTCCTTTCCTTTTTTTCCTTCTCTCCTTCCTTCCTTCCTTTTTACCTCTTTCTTTCCTTCCCCATTTTCTTTTCCCCTTTCTCTTTCCTTCTCTACCTCTTTCGTTCCTTCCTTCGCTTTTTGCTTCCACCCTTCCTTCTCTTTCCTTCCCTCCCTCCTCTCTTCTTTCTTCCTTCTCCCTTTTTCTTTCCCTTCTTTCCTTCTCCTTCTTCCTTCCTCTTCTTCTTCTCTTTCTTCTTTCTTTTTTCCCTCCTTCCTTCCCTTTTTTCTGTATCATCATTTAGCTTTTGGGGGGTTTTAGTCCTTTCTGTTGGTTTTTTTTTGGGGGGGGGGGGATTATGAGTGATGGTTACTCGTTGGTCTGTTAGGGGTATAGTGTCCAAATTATGTGTCAATCCATCCAGAGGTTTTTGAATTATGTTAATCCTACAAACGAACATTAAATTTTTATGTATATGTATTTGTAAAAAATGTATTGGATAATAGAGTTTTACAATGCAATGACCAGGTGTGAAACAGAAAAAAATGTACAGATCCGCCACCCAACACACTCCATCTGCCTATTTCATTTTCCCTTCTTGTTTCTTACCATTCAGCTTACTATTTTCATATAACAAATACTTAAGTCCTTTGACTCATATACGCACAACAAGAAGCAAATAGGCCACTTACTCTCTGGGATATTATCCCGTTGCGCTCCTACTACTTCTTTGGCCTGGCTCAGTGTGACTGAAGTAGACTCCGATACTGTCAAGAAATTGAACACGGAATACTTGTCACGCTTCACTTTGGGTAATCCAACAATGCACGAGCTGGAAAACAAAAATGTTGGGGTTTGCAAAATTGTAGAAGTGTGCGATTTTAGATTTTTTTTCCCCAAAGTTTTGTATTACAATGCTGTGGGTTTTCTAAAGCCGGTTGCGTATAATCTGTGCCTTTGAAATGAATCTATAAGCAATGACAACTTCTGTGTTTTAGATCTCATGGTCTGTTCTTTAATCCTGATGCTCTCAACTTACTCTGAATAGGGATCAGGAACATTAAACCTTTTGCACAGCAATTTGTCCGGGTGCCATTCAAACCTTTCTCTTGTGAGCTTGCCAAACATCTTCATCTTTGCAGCTGCCTTTTTGTCATCAATATCAGCCTAAAATTAACATACAGCGATTAATAGCAACAAAAAATACATATAAATTACAGCAGACATGGTCAAACTTGGGACCTCCTACAGGCTTTTTGGGCTTCAACTCCCACAATTCCTAACAGTTGGATTTGTGGAAATTGGGAGTCCAAAACACCCGCAGGAGGGCCCAAATTTGACCATGCCCAAGTTACAGTAGTTATCCTCTGACTCTTATGTTAATCGTGTCAATTGAGATAGATCTATATAAATAAAAATGTAATGTTCGTTTGTGGGATTAACATAACTCAAAAACCACTGGACGAATTGACACGAAATTTGGACACAATACACCTAACAGTCCAACGAGTGTCCATCACCCGTAAACACACACACACACAAAAAACCCCAGCGGAACAAACTTAAAACCCCCAAAAATACACCATATACACATGCACACATTTGAACACAGACACGTTCATACACACACACATTGTATATATATATATGCACAAACACACACAAATATATATACCACACATAATATACATACACACATATATACATATACACATACTCACATACATATATACATATACACATGCTCACATACATACACACAAATACACAAATATATACATCCATATTTATATATGTGTGTGTGTATATATACACACACACACACACACAAACAAACACACATATATACACAAATATATACAAACACATAAACATATACATACACACAAAACACATACATACACACAAAACACATATACACAGACTGGACCACAGCAACGCGTGGCTGGGGACGGCTAATCTATATAAATAAAAATGTATTGTTTATTTGTGGGATTAACCTAACTCAAAAACCACTGGATGAATTGACACCAAATTTGGCCACAAGACACCTACTAACCCAAGGAGTGACCATCACTCAAAAAATTTGATTTTGTCATTTGGGAGTTGTAGTTGCTGGGATTTATAGTTCACCTACAATCAAAGAGCATTTGAACTCCACCAATGATGGAATGAACCAAACGTGGCACACAGGACTCCCATGACCAACAGAAAACACTAGAAGGGTTTGGTGGGCATGACTGAGTTTGGGAGTTGTAGTTCACTACATCCAGAGAGACTGTGGACTCAAACAAGATGGATCTGGGCCAAACTTGGCACGAATATTCCATATGCCCAAATGTGAACACAGATGGAGTTTGGGGAAAATAGAACTTGAAAATTGGGAGTTGTAGTTATGTACAATCAAAGAGCATTCTGAACCCCACCAACGACAGAAATGGGGGGGGGGGAACTTCCCACACAGAACCCCCATGACCAACAGAAAACTTAAAGGCCATCCAATCCAGTTCCCTTCACCAGGCCAAGAAAATGTAATCAAAGCCCTCCTGACAAAGAGCCACCCAGCCATAGATATAGATAGATATATATGATCCACACACAGAGATATAGTATCATAGATTTGAAAGAGACCCCTAAAGAAGGACAATTATATGTTGCATGTTCCAGAGTAGGCAAAACAGACAATCTTCACATCAACACTGACAAAGAAACAGCAAAAAATACTGTTTACCCACAAGCATAAAGAAATTACATATATTAAAGCCAATACTTTCTCATTACTTCATTTTCCAGATCACCAGACTGGGCCACAGCAACGCATGGCAGGGGGGGGCTAGTAGTCCAGTAATAATAGTAATAAGAACACACCTCCTGATCCCGAGGAACTTCTACTTTGTCGGTGTCATCTTCATGCTTTGCAGAAGTAAACCTCGAAGACAGGACAGAGCTGGAGGATTTGTAGAGCATTGCAGCACGAGAAAACTCGTCTTGCTCCCTCCGGCGTTCCCATTCTGTCATATTAGGATCAACACAGCTTGCTAGAACTTCGACTGGAAGACAAAAGACGGCAGAATAGGCAATTCAACAAACTAAACTATGTGAAAAAGGATTTTTTTTTTAAAAAAAATCAAAGCTGTTCATACTTTTAAAGCATTGAAACAAAGGAAAACCAGCAGACAACGGCCAATGTATCTACCTACATTTGTATGTTTTTCAAGATGGCTCCCACATCCAGAGAGCCCTACGACTCCCACCAATGATGGATCTGGACCAGACTTGGCACACAGACCCTCCGTGACCAACTTCAACTACTGGTTTGGTTTGGGGGCAATGACAAGAGGATGATGGGAGCTGTAGTTTATCCACATCCTTATGCATTTTCTAATGGGATCAATAATAAAATCCAAAAACAAACAATGATTATTTCTAATGTTTATCCTTACAAAATACCTCACTCAGGCATCACGGCATACCTAAGCTAGTTCATAATGAATGTCAAATATTTTAGAACATTTTTCGTCCAATTGTCAGTTCTTTTTAACTTTTGTCATTTTCTTCTTTTCACCATCAAGAGCATTAAGCTTTGATCAAGGCGTCAAAACAATCTTATCACAAGGAACAAGAGTTGTATGTGTTTTGACAATTACCTTTTGTATCATGTTTGAGACTCGCTCTGTAATTTTCATATCTCTTTTGTTTTTCTGGATCTTTTGCAAATGGTCTGAAGTCACTAGAACCCGCTGAAGTTAACTGCTGCCACTTTGGTGGAGCATCATGCAAAGACGAGGTTTGGAATCTGTTTTGCAGGCACTGCTGGGGAAGAGATGGAGTCTTCACTTGAGTCTCTGCCACTTGTTTTGCTTCCAGGATCCTCTCTTTGTCTTTATCTGACAAATACTCAAGAACAGAAGTTGCTGGACCTAAACAATTTTTAAAAACAGTGTAAAAAGCAACTGTAAACTGTTTGAAGGTAAAATCAAGATGCTACAGAAATGATGGAATGTAATTTTAAATTTAAACATTATGTTTTCATAAATGTCCCTCAGAACTCATTGATGGTTACAACAAATGTTCTTAGTTTCATAATAGATATATATTAATGATAATTTGGTAAGCATGGCTTTGGTTATTGAAAACTCTACCTAGAATATGAGCTCTGCCTCAAAGCCACAAATAAATTGTCAGAAATATTAAAAAATAACTAGGTATTTTTAATTGCAAACATGTGGGTTAAATGGATACAAGGACTCAGCAAAAACTGTAGTTCAATATAAGTAGGTGTGCCTATAGCTTAGTACGCCTCAGTGTTAGTTACCCTCAGACTGAGAGAGGCCTCAGAATGAAAAGACTCCAATGTTAGTAGGCCTCAGTGTGAAATAGGCCTCAGAGTTAGAAGGCCTGGTGTGAGAAGGCTTCGGTGAAAGAAGCCCCAAGTTGAAGGCCTCATAAATAAATAAATAATGTGTCCAGAGGAGGGCGACTAAAATGATCAATTGTCTGGAGAACAAGCCCTATGAGGAGCGGCTTAAAGAGCTGGGCATGTTTAGCCTGCAGAAGAGAAAGCTGAGAGGAGATATGATAGCCATGTATAAATATGTGAGGGGAAGTCATAGGGAGGAGGGAGCAAGCTTGTTTTCTGCTGCCCTGGAGACTAGGACGCGGAGCAATGGCTTCAAACTACAGGAAAGGAGATTCCATCTGAACATGAGGAAGAACTTCCTGACTGTGAGAGCTGTCCAGCAGTGGAACTCTCTGCCCCGGAGTGTGGTGGAGGCTCCTTCTTTGGAGGCTTTGAAACAGAGGCTGGATGGCCATCTGTCAGGGTGCTTTGAATGCAATATTCCTGCTTCTTGGAGGGTTGGACTGGATGGCCCACGAGGTCTCTTCCAACTCTATGATTCTATCATTCTAGAACTAACAGCACCAAATGGTCAGAATAAATTATGTATAGAATACAATGGCAGAACATATACATTGGAAATTAACATTTTAATATACTGGGTACCTTTAAGACTAGTCTCGCCCAGCAGTTCTCTCCTCTGAGAAGCAGTCTTTTGGTGTCTGCTTGGCAATGCTGCATCACTCTGGAACTTCCCTGTAGATTCTGCTAAAACTTGTACTAAATGGGGTTTTTCACTTCCGGTGTTTATCGTGGGTCGAAAGTGATGGATGGGTCTGTAATCCTTTGGCAAATCAGGAGGAGGGTAAGTCTTCAAAGAAAAAAAACAACATAACACAAAGGGAGGGTGAATATATATTCTTAAAAGACTGCTTATACATCAGCTATATCTAATGCCCTTATCAGACACTGCTTGCTATGGAATCTATTTTGTATGTCTGTATGTATGCAAGTCAATGTATGTATGTATGTATGTATGTATGTATGTGGGTATATATGTATGTACTAGTTATCCCCTGCCACGCGTTACTGTGGCCCAGTCTGTGTATATGTGTTTTGTGTGTGTATATGTGTATATATGTGGTTTTGTGCATGCGTTGTCATATATTTTTTATTTTTTGCCTTTTAAGTCTCTTCCACTGTGTTTTTCAGTGTTTTTATGAGTGATGGTCACTCGTTGGTCTGATAGGTATATTGTGTCCAAATCTGGTGCCAATTCGTCCAGTGATTTTTGAGTTATGTTAATACCACAAATGAACATTACATTTTTATTTATATAGATGTATCTGTGTATGTGAAAGTTTTCTGATTGGCTGCCACTTCCACAGGCCACTAGGACCACTATGAATGACGGAACTGGACCAAACTTAGCCCACATAACCCCCATGATCCATTTTACGTTGGGGAAGGATGGACCACAGATGATGGGATTTGCAGTATTTTCAATCACTTCGGATCCCACAGACCACCGTGGTCCTCACCAGTGACAGATCAGGACCAAAGTTGGCACACAGACCCCATGTCCCACTTTACATCCTGGTGCGGTTTGAGGATGGACCATGGACAATGGGACTTGCAGTACCTTCACTCACTTCTTGAGACCACTGTGACACACACCAATGGCGGATCAAGAATGAACTTGGCACACAGAGCCCACATGACCCAGTTTACATCCTGGTGCAGTCACAATAATTAAACTACTACCTAGCAATGGCTCCTTAATCAATCCTAATTATCTAAGAAAATGGAACTGCTCTAAGAAATGTTCTACACAGGGAGAGGAGTGGTTTACCTACTTTTGGAGGAACAATAGATGCAGACGCCATTAAGAAACCATCCAAAATTTTCCCAATGTATTTCAGCTCTTTGTTGATTCCTGGAAAATAATATCATTTAGAAGGGTTTTCAAAACACTGCAATTGCATAACATGTGCTAAATGTATATTGTCAAGGCTTTCATGGATGGAATCTCTGGGTGTTGTGTGGTTTCCAGGCTCTATGCCCATGTTCTAGCACCGTTGCAGGCAAAACGTCAGGAGAAAATGCTGCCAGAACACAGTCATACAGCCCAGAAACCACACAACACTCCATATGCTAAATAAATCCCAAAAAAAACACACCCTTCTTCCACACCTGGCTTATTTGTATACTGCTTCGGTGCCGTCCAGCCATACAACCCATCGCCAGGCTCCTCGTCTTTCAAAACGGTGTCATATTTAGAAAGGGATTCAGTTGCATAAATGTCAGCATCTTCCTCTTCCAAAGCACCAACACCAAAAGCCTAGGGTAAGAACAGGGCAGAGAATGAGCACAGGCAAATATCCATTTAACAGACCAATAAGGGTGTCTACAATTAGCATGTGAATAGATAATATATTCAAAACTGTTGGACAGAGCAAAACTGGAATGGTGATTGCTGTATTTCCAACATTAGGAAAGAAAAAAGAGCTCTTCCATTTATCAAGCTGAGATACGGCTTTCAGAAATCTATTTTTGGGGCATATTTATTTATTTATTTTGTATCAAAAGCATTGCATACATAAGTATAAAACGGATAAAATAGAAGAAGCACAAGCAGTTGAATAATTTTTGACCAAAATCGGGCAACAGCAACCGCATTGTCTGTAGCTTTAAACAATTCTTCCTCTGTACATGAGGCAGGGCATCGTGGACAAGCATACAGGTGCGGAGTTGCTTGTTCTGCCCCACAGTCATACAAGGTGGATTCTTTTATGTAGTTCCATTTTGCCAGGTTGTCTCTTGATCTGACCACTCCACTTCTGAGTCTGTTCAGGGGCTTCCAGGTTGACCATTCTTGGTTTGCCCCTGGACACAGACCCTTGTGGGGGCCATCCAGTTGGGATTTCCTGGTTTAGCTGCCCAGAGGGATATTGTTGTTATTGCCGTTGTTGTTGCTGGGGGAACATTAAGAGGAGTGGTGGTTCTTATCCTGAATTGCCCTTCAAAAACAGCCTTTAGACAATGTTCCCTTCCCAAAGTATTACACTTTTGTAGACTGTTTTTTATGTATATCTGGAAAGAAAATGCATTCAATAAAAATTATTCTAAAAAAACAGCCTTTAGACAATGTTGAAAGTAAAAGAAAATTGCTTTACTTCAGCAAACACGAAGAATAAGCAAATGTAATTGAAAAGTGCAAAAGAGAGCAAGGAAGTCTTAATGCAGACACAAATTAAAGTCTCTTACAAAGTCCCAAAAGAAATACCAGTCTTCCATCAGACAACGGGCAATGAACTAAGTCGGGTTGTTGTAGGTTTTTTCGGGCTATTTGGCCATGGTCTAGAGGCATTCTCTCCTGACGTTTCGCCTGCATCTATGGCAAGCATCCTCAAAGGTAGTGAGGTCTGTTGGAACCCTGGTCATTCCACAAATATATAAACCCCTTTCCTAGTTCCAACAGACCTCACTACCTCTGAGGATGCTTGCCATAGATGCAGGCGAAACGTCAGGAGAGAATGCCTCTAGAACATGGCCATTTAGCCCGAAAAAACCTATAACAACCCAGTGATTCCCACCAGTCTTCCATCAGACAACGGGCAATAAACTAAGTCCTTAGCAGCAGATACAAAGCAGATTCCATTGGAGTGAAAACATTAGTATTAGGGTCATTATCAGCGAAAGCTGACTGCTCCTGCTTCTGATTTATAGCCCTGAATTCCCTATGCAGGAGGGCATCTCCCAATTAGCTCAGCGTTTTTAGCAGCTATCCTAGCTGAATGTCGTCTGTGCTCTGTCTCTTTTCATCTCTCTAAAAATGTCGACAATTTCAAACCCTCATCATCTGATTCTTCTTCTTCCTCCAATTTCTGAGCACTTCCCTGCTCCCCTTCCTCCTCCGAAGATGAGGAATCGCTAACAGTTCTCATGCTTTCCTCTGATCTGAGTCTACTGGGAGGAGGCTGATAGCCATGCAGAGGGTGGTTTTCACAGTGCTCAACCTTATTTCTTTCACAGTTGGCAGTAATTTCCCATTGCACTTTGGGGGGCAGTGCCAGCTAGCTTGTCGAGTTTATCAACAGGTGTAGGTTTGAGACATCCTGTGATTATTCTGAAGGTTCACCTGCTTCACAGACTTGTGCCAAACTGGGCAGACATATTCAGCAACTGAGTAAAACAAAGCCAGGGCTGATGGGGGGGGGGGGGAGTAAAACAGCCAGGGCTGATGTTCTTATTAATTTTGGGTCTGCTCCCCATTCACTGCCAGTGACCAGCCCCCTTCTTTCTGCCATACAGGAGAAGTACAATCAAAGCACCCCTGACAGATGATCAGCCAGCCTCTGCTTAAAAGCCTCCAGAGAAGGAGACTGGACCACACTCTGAGGAAGCAGTGAGTTCCACTGTTGAACAATTCTTAAGATCAGTAAGCTCTTCCAAATGTACATTTTTCTGAAACTCAGAAGTGGTGTCTTTTTCAAAGGAACTAGAGGTAACATAAGGCAGGTCCTTTTCAATCGGGATGGCAAGGCTGTGGGAGCTGCTTTCACGAAGCATTGCATGGCTACCGCATCATGAACGTTACCACTAACCTTTAAAGAGTAATGATCTTATCAAAATGAGGAACTTCTGCTGCCTTTGCCTGCTAGGTTTTGCTCTTGTATCTTATTTTTATATCTGGTTGTATGTGGGCACTACTGGAAAGTACTGCAAGAAGGTGACTTGTGGGATTATTATTGTTATTTATATTCCACTTTTTCTCTCCATAAGGAGACTCAAAGTGACTTACATTAAAAGCATTACAATACAATTTGAAATATACAAATATTAAAACAGTATTAAACATTTTATTACTAAAAACAATTCAGTTAGATCCATAAAAACATAGAAAGCATAAAAAACATAAGAAGCATCCTTAAGACATGAAGTTTTACCTGTCCCGAAATGCCAACTTTCCGTCCTTTACTGTGACGCAGATCTCCAAGCAGAGTTGGATTTTCAGAACTAGGACTAAAAAGGTTTGTGTCTTCCTCTGAAATGCCAAACAACGCTTTGGTTGGATCCAGGGCTTTATAGCCAAGTCCATGGACATTATCTTTAGGAGCCAAGTTCACAGGCGTTACATCTTTGGGAGCAAACGTCACATTTTCTGGCTGATATTCATCCTCTTCTTCCTTTAAGAAGGTAACATACATAGTTTAGAATGAAGAAGTACTGCTACAATCAGAAGCATCCTTAAGGTGTTTCTTTATATTTAATCATTGACATTCCCTTGTTATTTGATCTACAGTCCATTATTAGTTCTTGGAAAAGGAACTTCTTGGAAAAGGAAATCCTCTTGCTTCCTGTGCTCCTCTGTAGACTTCCGCATACATCAATACTGCTCTAAAAACTATTATTGCAGAAAAACTCCTCAGTGACATTTTTTCCCATGTCAGGAGCAACTTGAGAAACTGCAAGTCACTTCTGTTGTGAGAGAATTGGCTGTCTGCAAGGACATGGCCCAGGGGATGCCTGGATTTTTTTTAATGTTTTACCATCCTTGTGAGAGGCTTCTCTCATGTCCCTTGCATGGGGAGCTGGAGCTGACAGAGGGAGCTCATCCGCGCTCTCCCTGGATTCAAACGGACCTGTCGGTCTTCAGTACTGCTGGCACAAGGATTTAACCCACTGCACCACCATGGGCTCTATATAACAGTTTGTCTATAATATATTATGTAATAGTATTTGAATTTTTTTTCCTGATTTGGTTATTTCCTAGTTATAAAAGAAATTCTAAGAAAATAGTTTTTTCCTAAAATTGAAGTTTACATCTGAGGGCGCCTTACATTGGGTGAAATATGCTAGTTAACAGAACTGTTGCCTTAGAGAATCCCTAATATTATTTTCTTTTTTCACCCAGGGCCAGATTTGAAAGTACTTTGAAAGTAGTTGTTCTACTCCAGAAACTTGGTTTTTGTGGCTGCCATTTTTAACCTTCCAATGTGCCATTTTTAACCTTTTGTGCAGACCACAAGAACTAAGTTTTTGCAGTTTAATAAACTTTTTTCCATGTTGCCGTGATAGAAACAATTAGGAAATAATATTTATAACCCAGAAATAAAAACTGTGTTACATAGTGATATCTGCATAACGACGTGCTACATAAAAATAAATGAAGCCATCCTATCCCATCGGTTGCACAAATAATACCTCTGATTCTTCAGATCCTGGGGGCAAAGCACAGCCATATATTTTCACAGGATCGGCAACTAAATATGATGGAATAAAAGACAGTACATTATTACATTTTCAATGTAAAGGGCAATTCATTGCTTATCTACACTGCTGAGATCTCAGTGTAGTCTGCTGGATTACCCAAGTGTACCAAGACACTCTACTATGATTTTTACATCATTACAAAACTAAATAATCTTGTGCATTTGTATAGAAGCACTATCCAATTCTGTTTGTTTCATTCGTAAGGCCCCATATTCGTTTTTGAGTGCCTCTTCCAAAATCGAGATCCTTTCCGAATGAGTTTTTTTATCCCAGGTTCGAAAAAATGAATATTTTCGTCCCATTGGCAGCAATGGGCAGGCTTCCCACGCTCCCCTTCCCTTTGGTTTTAGGCACTGGCAGCTGTGGGTGCTTTCTGGGCCTGCACGTCATACACACACTCTTTTTCCAAGGAGAATACGTGCATGGCTTGCAGGCCCCTTGCCCGTGCCTACCAGGGCCTGCAGCCAAGTGTAGAGCTCCTCTTACTTGGTGCTCAGCTGCAGGCCCTGGTAGGCATGGGCGCTTTGTGCCAGCAAGCCACACACACATACTCTTTCCAAACTGGGTAACACATGGCAAATACTGAATATGGCAATGTATAATTTGTAGAGTGGGCATTTCCTAAAATTTTAAAATATGGTATGCCTCTGTCTGCAGTATACTGAAAGTTGCCCTGAAGTCCCAGGGCTTGACTTAACATATGTAGCTCTTCTATTGTAAAAGTTAATGATTATTCTTAGTGATAAACAAACAAGAGAGTAGGCAGAGCTCTCTGGGTTTAATTGAAGGGCTTTTCTTGCCTGAGCAGCCCTAAGTCAATTAGCTTTGATGACAAGGAAATGAAACTGGGACATGGAAACACAAAGTTCACAAAACAGAATAAATCAAACATTATTCCCAATTCCACTCCAAATTTGCCATCACAAGTGCAATGATATATATATCCTGAAAATTCTGTAGCAGTGACTACATGGGAAATAACTGATATTCAACCATAGCTATTTACATCTCCCACTTTTTCAATAGTAGACAGTAACTGGCAGCTGACATGACACAGTGGTCAGTAGTCATGGGCCCCTTATTGGCGCTAGGCTGCAGGCCCTGGCAGCCACGGGCGCTTTGGGCCTGCAAGCCACACAGGCATTCTACTTGGAAAGAGTGTGTTTATGTGGCTTGCAGGCTCAAAGCACCCTATAGCCGAACACCGAAAATCAGGCGATCAAATGGTCACTGTTCCCACTTTCATTTAGTTTCACTGAGATTTCCATACCAGAGGTGGATGTAACGTTTTGTGCCATCTGAATGAAACAAATGGTACAAAAACACAAATTAAATGGCTGAAACAGTTACAAGACCTAGAATATAAATGAAGGATACTGGATGCATTTAAGTGATATCTCAACATAGCAAGCCAAGGAACAACCAAGTGTTTTTCCCAGGCATATATTCTGGGAAGACAAACCAGGAATGAATCAATTAACTCCAATGTCCCATTTCATTCAAATCAAGAAACTATGCTTCTAGCTGTCATTTCTGAGCTCAGGTCACATCACACTGCCATATAATGCAGTCTCATAATGCAGTTTAACTGCATTGAAGCGCATTATATGGCAGCATAGACTCAAATAATGCCATTAAACTGTTAGGCAAGTGGGCTTATTAACATAATACCCTCCTCATAAATGTACAGCAGAGTAACTTATTAGCAGTAGCATGACAACACACAGACCAATGTTACCTCTTCCATAGGAGGCTTTTCTTCGGAGTAAAATAATACAATTGCACTATTTACTAGAACTAGGTTTCCATAACACAAATAAATAAATATATATATAGGAGCTTTACACGCAGCAACCCTCACACTGGAGCTTTCTCACACGAGGCTTCTCTCACACTGAGGTTTACCTCATACTCCTCAGGACGACATTAGGGGGAATCCTTTGTTGGGAGGTGAAATCTGGCCTTGATTGTTTCCTGTCTGGAATTATCCAGTTTTTGAGTGTTGCTCTTTTTTTTATTGTCCTAATTCTAGAGGGATTTTTTTATACTGGTTCTCCCAGACAAGAAGCAGCCAGCTTTGAAGCTGCAAAGCCATTCAATGCTAATCAAGCTGGCCAATTGAAACATTCACACTTTCCTCAAGCAGACAAGACTTCTTTCTCCCATTCTGGATGTTATTCCACAGATATATAAACCCCACTTGCCAACAGACCACAGAACTTCTGAGGATGCCTGCCATAGATGTATGCAAAATATCAGGAGAGAATGCTTCTGGAACTCACAGCAACCCAGCATTAATTTTGTTTATTCCAAAGCTGGTAACCATAATGTGTTAATCGGGAAGGACTACAAAACTGTTTCCTGGTTTGCTTGCTAAATTAGAAAGAAAAAAATCTTCATGATTTTGAAATTTGTTTAACTGAGATATTGTCTGAGCCAAGTTATTTATTTTCCCCTTAACAAAAAGTAATATGTTTAAAATACCAGGTTTCTGTTTCTGTGGCTTCCTCTTCACACGAGGTCCAACACCTTGTCCATCTTTCCAGCCCATTTTTCGCAGCAGGTCGACACCAATGGTGATTCTTAATAGGAAATATACAAAAGCGTTATTACAAATAAACATATTAAAATAATGTACACAATATACTCAGATAGCCAGTGACATGGCAAAGTTTCCAAAGTGCAGTCATGTTTTATTTATTTATTTTAGTTCATTTATACCCTGCGTTTCTCACCCCGCAGGGGACTTAAGGCAGCTTACAAAATCCAGTAAAAATTCAATGCTGGAATATACACATTACAATAAAACCAATACAGCCATAAAACATACCCTATCAACTATAAAAATATTTAAACATATAAGAAAATAAAAACACATAAGATAATGAAACAGATATTACAACCTGAAGTGCTGAGTCTTGAGTTTATAGTTATTCATTCACAGTCAGTCATATCAGTTGAACTCAAATTCCATATTGTCCTATTCTATGAACACCTGCATAAAAAGCCAAATCTTTCATTTTTTCCCCTGAAGACCAGGAGGGATAGGACCTGCCTGATGTCACTAGGGAGTTCCACAGCTGAGGTACCACCACTGAGAAGGCCCCATCTCTCGTCCTCACCAATTGTGCTTGTGAAGGGAGTGAGAGCAAGAGCAGGGCCTCCCAGGCAGATCTTAAAACTCTAGTTGGCTCATTAAGGGAAATATGTTCTGACAGGTAAGTTGGACCAGAACCGTACAGGGCTGTATAGGCCAAAGCCAGCACTTTGAATTGAGCCCAGTAGCAGACTGGCAGCCAGTGGAGCTGACGTAACATGGGAGTTGTATGCTCCCTGTATGCCGCCCCAGTTATTAACCTGGCTGCCTCTCTTTGGACTATTTGAAGCTTCCAAGCAGTCTTCAAAGTCAGCCCCACGTAGAGCGCGTTGCAGTAGTCTATCCTAGATGTAACGAGAGCATGAACCACCATGGCCAAGTCTGACTTCCAAAGGTATGGGTGCCGCTGGCGCACAAGTTATAATTGTGCGAATGCTCCCCTGGCCATGGCTGCAACCTGGGATTCCAGGCTGAGTGATGAATCCAGGAGAACTCCCAAGCTGCGAACCTGTGCCTTCAAGGGGAGTGCGACCCCATTCAGCACAGGTTGCGACCCAATACCCTGTTTGGCCTTGCAACTGACCAGGAGGACCTCTGTCTTGTCTGGATTCAACTTCAATTTGCTTGCCCTCATCCAGACCGTCACAGCGGTTGGGAAGAAGTGATCGAGTTGGACGTCATCTGCACACAGATGGTATCGAACTCCAAAACTTCGTATGATCTCCCCCAGAAGTTTCATGTAGATGTTAAACAACATGGGAGACAATGCTGCTTGCTAAATTAGATAGCCCTACAGGACTCCACAAGTGAATGGTTGCGGGGATGAGCAGGTGACCCCAACACCTTCTGAGACTGACCCTCCAGGAAGGACTGGAGCCACTACAAAACAAGTGCCTCCAATCCCCATTTCTGCGAGGTGTCTCAGAAGAATATCATGGTCTACAGCAGGAGCCCTCAAACTTTTTAACAGAGGGCTGGGTCACAGTCCCTCAAACCGCTGGAGGGCCAGATTATATATTTTTTTAAATGAATGAATTCCTATGCACAATGCACATATCTTATTTGTAGTGCAAAAACACAATACAATAATTAAAATTAAGAACAATTTTAACAAATATAAACTTATTAGTATTTCAATGGGAAGTGTGGGCCTGCATTTGGCTGATGAGATAGGATAGTAGTAGTAGTAGTTGTTGTGTGCTTTCAAGTAATTTCAGACTTAGGTTGACCCTGAGTGAGGGCCGGGTAAATGACCTTGGAGTGCCGTATCTGGCCCCCAGGCCTTATTTGGAGGACACCTGCTCTACAGTATCAAAGGCTGCTGAGAGGTCCAGGAAAACCAACAGGGACACACTGCCCCTGTCCAGTTCCCTATACAGATCATCCACTAAGGAGACCAATAATAATAATAATAATAATAATAATAATAATAATAATAATTTATTTATACCCCGCTACCATCTCCCCAAGGGACTCGGTGAGACTTACATGAGGCCAAGCCCAACAACACATCAGTAAAAACAATAATTAATAAGCAAATAAAACAATACAATTAATATAAATCACATAAACAGTAAAAGTAACTCATACGCATTTAAAAACCTATGGCTGGGCCAAATGTAATAGTTTGAAATTTAAAAAATAACGCTGGGCATGAACAAGGTAGGATATAACTGGTAGAGGGTTTTCAAAGAGAGATGAGGGAACGCAGTCAGTCCTAAATCAGTGGTAAAGTGCATTTTGAGGGCATATTGCTGAGAGTTTTCCTTATTCTGGGAAGGCACACTGGAACAACCATGTTTTCAGGCTCCTCCTAAAGACTGCCAGAGTTTAGGCATGTCTGATGTCCTTGGGGAGCGAGTTCCAGAGTTCCAAGGCTGTTTCAGTTCCATATCCCGGCCTAAAGCCGGACTGTGATGGGTCTAGATCAGGGGTCCTCAAACTAAGGCCCGGGAGCCAGATACGGCTCTCCAAGGTAATTTACCCGGCCCTCACTCAGGCTCAACCTAAGTCTGAAATGACTTGAAAGCACACAACAACAATCCTATCTCATCAACCAAAAGTAGGTCCACAATTCCCATTGAAATACTAATAAGTTGATATTTGCTGAAATGGTTCTTAATTCTAATTATTGTATTGTTTTAAAGGTTTTTTTGCTGCACTACAAATAAGATATGTGCAGTATGCATAGAAATTCATTCATGCTTTTTTCAAATTATAATCCGGCCCTCCAATAGTTTGAGGGACTGTGACCTGGCCCTCTGTTTAAAAAGTTTGAGGACCCCTGGTCTAGATAATCAATTTCCTCTAACATCAGGAACATTAGCATGAGGAGCTCAAAGAGAAACATTAAATTCTGCAACCTGTTTATGATGAGAATAAAACAAACCAAACAAGAAACAAGCCATATACTGTGAAATTTTTCATTCACACTTATCGAACTCTTTACTCCTCCATACAGTATAATATATACTTACTTGCCAGGTGATATACATTCATCCAATATTGAAGCTCCAGGAATTGGGCCCACAACGCCTGCAATTTCTCTGGCTTTCTCCTTTATTCTATCCTTGCTTCTGGAAGTATATTCATCTGTAATTGTAATTTTCTTTGGTGCTATCCCATGTTCACTAAGATCCTTTTGTGGAAGGAAGAGAGGAAAAAGTCATACAAAATGGGTTGGAAGCAACTTCTGAAATGGATGTAGCTGTCCTCCATATTGGTGGGAGGTAGAGGACCACCATGAAAGTGGAAAATCACAATTAAAGACATAGTTGGGATTTCTAGATCTTCTGGCATAACTCTATGCTGGACTTCCAATGGAAGCTGATCCCAGAATTGCATTGGAGGACCTAGAGATGCCTAAAGAGATGTTCTCTCTAGAAATCTCTCAGTCCTATGGACAAAGTTTACCATAGAGTCATAGTCTGCGTAGGAATTAGAGATTCCTACAGAGAATATTTTACTCGAATTCTGTAAATAAAAAATCAAATATGCAAAAGTCAAAAACACAAATATGAAGGGATGGCTATATATTGGAAAAACAAATCTGAAATGCAAAATACATTACAAAATAACAATGACTCTTATTGCATCTTGCTTACAGTATTAAAGACTACGATTCACATAAACAAAGGTATATTTTTAAGGCTCCCCCATGACGTAGCGGGTTAAAACGCTGAGCTGCTGAACTTGCTGATCGAAAGGTTGGCAGTTTGAATCCAGTGAGCAAGGTGAGCTCCCGCTGTTAAGCCCAACTTGTGCTAACCTAGCAGTTCGAAAACATGCAAACGCGAGTAGATCAATAGGTACCGCTTCTGCGGGAAGGTAACAGCACTCTATGCAGTCATGCTGGCCACATGACCTTAGAGGTGTCTACAGACAATGCCGGCTCTTCTACACACATCTTATCAAGAACAAGGAAGATCCCAAAATATGACGACTGAATTTGAGATGAGCACCAACCTGCAAAGTCAGTCTCAACTAGACTTAATGTCAGGGGAAACCTTTACCTTAACACAGTGGTTGTCAACCTGTGGTTCCCCAGGTGTTTTGGCCTACAACTCCCAGAAATCCCAGCCAGTTTAGCAGCTGTTAGGATTTCTGGGAGTTGAAGGCCAAAACATCTGGGGACCAACAGGTTGAGAACCACTGCCTTAAGGTATATTTAGTAAGCATGTTCCTGAAACACAAGCCAGAGATGTGGAGAAATTGTCAAGATCAAATACGACATATTTCCCTGCTGCTCAGCCACTAAACAAGACAAAATGCCCAAGAAACCGGAGAAAGAAGCTAAGAACAAATCTTTCATTTTGCACAGGGAGAATAAACCACAGAACAAAAACTGTCTACTTCTAGAATACAAAATAAACTATGGCTAATGCTCTGTGTCTCGTTTAGTCACTATTGGAGTGATCAAAGAGTACGCCTTAGCAAGTTACTTACTCATAAATTAGGCCTCCCATTTATTCCTAGATTATTGTATCCTGGGAATGTGCCAATATATATTTAATAATAATAATAATAATAATAATAACTTTATTTGTACCCCGCTACCATCTCCGCAAGGGACTCGGTGCAGCTTACATGAGGCCAGACCCGCAGTACATCAATTTATTTATTTTTTGTCGTGTCAGGAGCAACCGCTCCTGTTGTGAGAGAATTGGCCGTCTGCAAGGACGTTGCCCAGGGGACGCCTGGATGATTTTGATGTTTTATCATCCTTGTGGGAGGCTTCTCTCATGTCCGCATGAGGAGCTGGAGCTGATAGAGGGAGCTCATCTGCCTTTCCCCGGATTCGAACCTGCGACCTGTCGGTCTTCAGTCCTGCCGGCATAGTGCTTTAACCCACTGCGCCACTGGGGGCTCCAGTACATCAATAAAACGAAGGCAATAACAAAATAATCAATACAAAACAGTAAAATAAATCTCAAAACAAAAATAAACAATAAACAATAACAATAACATACAAGTATTTAAAAACCTATGGCCAAAAAGTACAAGGAGAATCCACATACACCTATGATACATATGATATTTATGTATCTAAATCACACACAGAAACACAGAAACCCACACACATCTTATCAAGAACAAGAAAGATCCCAAAATATGATGATAGAAACCTGCAATGTTTTAAATACTTACTTCTTCATCCATGAAATCTTCTGGCCCCAGGACTGTCCTTTCCGCTCTCTTCTGGCGTGATGAGACAAAGGTGGACGGTGCCCATCCTTTAAACAGAGTAATTCATATTTACAAGATGCAACGTCAAAATGTTATTGTAATGTTCCATAAATGAACTTGTATCTTAGATTTCAATTAGAAACCTTAATCCTTTTTATGTGTCAATAAGACTCATTTAACTTAATTTTTTTCAGGGCAATATGAGTAGGAGGATTGTGTTACGCTAAACTGCATTAAATGTACAACACAAGTAATCAAACTAGTAAGGTGCTCTTACTGCCTATGACAGGGAAAACCAGCTGATTCCTAATCCATCTAAAACACAGACATGTGCTTTTCATCTTAAGAACAGACAAGCATCCCGAGCTCTGAGGATTACCTGGGAAGGAATCCCACTGGAGCATTGCAGCACACCCAAATACCTGGGAGTCACCCTGGACTGTGCTCTGACCTACAAGAAGCACTGCCTGAACATCAAGCAAAAAGTGGGTGCTAGAAATATCATAACAAAAGCTGACTGGCACAACCTGAGGATCACAACCAGATAAAGGGAAGACATCTGTCCTTGCACTTTGCTACTCTGCTGCTGCATATGCACGGCTAGTATGGAATGCATCTCACCACGTTAAAATGGTGGATATGGCTTTTAATGAGACATGCCACATTATCACAGGATGTCTACACCCCATACCACTGGAGAAATTATACTGTTTTGCTGGTATCACACCACCTGACATCCACTGGGAAGTAGCAGCCAGCAATGAAAGGACCAAAGCATTGACATCTCCGGCCCATCTTCTGTTTGGATATCAGCCAGCATGCCAATGCCTTAAATCAAGAAACAGCTTCCTAAGATCTACAGAGATACCCGCAGGTACACATCAGCAAGCAAGAGTCCAAAAGTGGCAGGCTAAAATCCAGAACCTCAGTCAGTGGCTGAGGCCAGATGAGAAACTCCCTCCTGAGCACATAGAAGACTGGGCAACCTGGAAGGCACTGAACAGGCTGTGCTCTGGCACCACGAGATACAGAGCTAACCTTAAGAAATGGGGCTACAAAGTGGAGTCCACGGCATGCGAGTATGGATAAGAGCAAACCAGAGGCGACCTACTACAATGCAACCTGAGCCCTGCCAATGCACAATGGAATATCTTATCACAGTGATACCAGAGGCACTCCAAGTGGCCAGCTTCTGGTCAAAGGAAATTTAGCATTATTCCAAGTTCTTTTTAAAAAAAACTTTTAAAATGCTTTTTAACTTACTTCTGACACAATAAATAAATAAAATAATGGCTTCCTAAAGCAAAGTCAGTCCATTCTTATAATTCCTGATCTTTAACCATGTTAGCGAGAGTTTGAGGGAGCTATAATCCAAAACATGTGGGCCAAGGAAATTTAAACACAATTTAATATGGTAATTTTATTAAAATGATATGTAACAATGTAAAGAGAATAGCACAACTTCCCCTATATTGACCAAAGAACTATTTTTAGGACTCATGTCTAAAGACAGATGTAACTGATAAGAGTTTAAAAATCAACATATTAACTTTCTTTTGCTCATGAAAAACATTTAATATTTTCAGCTTCATCCACTTCCTCTCTGCACTACTTATTAGTTCCATTCCAAGCTGAGAAAAATTGACGTGTTGCACATTCTGTTTCACTAATTGCTGAGAGAAGAACTAAACCCAGCCCTTCCTAGTTTTTCATCAACAGTACTACTTAACCAACTCTGTTTCTGTGGTTTGAAATTCCAGGATCTAGGAGAAGGTTAGATTAAATGATGGAAACTAATTCTTTGGAATTGGGTTGGTGTAGGTTTTTTCGGGCTATATGGCCATGTTCTAGAGACATTATCTCCTGACGTTTCGCCTGCATCTATGGCAAGCATCCAAAGGTTATGAGGATGCTTGCCATAGATGCAGGCGAAATGTCAGGAGAGAATGCCTCTAGAACATGGCCATATAACCTGAAAAAACCTACAACAACCCAGTGATTCCGGCCATGAAAGCCTTTGACAATTCTTTGGAAGCTTTTAAACCAAGGCTGGATGGCCATCTGCTGGGGGTGCTTTGATTGTGCTTTTCCTGCATGTCAGAAGGCGGTTGTCCTAGATGGCATTTGTGGGTCTCTTCCAACTCTATAATTCTATGAAATTGTGAACAAGTCCCCTCTAATTATTTAATTTGAATGGAAACAAGTTGTAAACTGTAAATTAACATATGGACTGCTTATACTAATCAACATAAAGCATAACGAGGTAGAGACACAGACAATTACTAACCTTCTTTAGAACCCACGGTGTTAAAATAGCCGGCAGAAAAACCACCACTAAATGCTCCATGGAAACGTTTGTACCGCCCCTTTTCATCTCTGACAGTTTGATCTTGTAGAGGAATTGGCTTCTTAATCGGTTCACCTGCAATTGTTATTGGAAGAACACGAAAATTAACATTGAAAATGAAAGGAAGCTACTGTTAGGCAGGCAAATGAGACAATATTTGAAAGAACAAAATCAGTTTGAACCACCCATTTCTGATGAATGGGACACCCAATCTTGTTACCAAACTAGGAAGGACAATAGTCAGACAACCAGATGAGAAAAACATCCGTTATGAACCTTCTACATCTACTGAACTGGAACTGGCTCTCAATCAATGTAAAAATAGCAAAGCAGCTGGCCTGGATGATCTACGAATGGAATAAATTGAGAAGTTTGGCCTCAAAGCAAGATGCTAGCTGTTGAAGCTGATGAACAATTGCGTTACATCCTGCACTGCATTTCTCACCACTAGAGAAATTATACTGTTTGGCGGTATTGCACCACCTGATATCCAGTAGACAAGATCACTCTGCTGGCTGTTGTATTGGGTCACACTTCCCAAGTGTCTAGGACTGTGTGATGTATTGGCAAATAATGTGTGCAGATCCCAGTAAGGTGGCCTTCTGCAGCTGACAGATGGTAATTTTGATTGTGTTCAAGTGCAGGCCAAGGTCTTTAAGCACTGCACCCAGTGTGCCGATCACCACTGGGACCACCTTGACTTGCTTGTGCCACAGTCTTTGCAGTTCGATCTTTAAATCCTCATATTGTGTCAGCTTTTCCTGTTGTTTCTCTTCAATCCTGCTGTGACCTGGGACTGCAACATCAACAATCCATACTTTGTTTTTTAACACGATCGTGACGTCAGAAGTATTGTGCTCCAGAACTCTTGTCTTTCTGCATTTGGAAGTCCCAGAGGAGTTTGACGTGTTCATTCTCTGTAACTTTTTCTGGCTTGTGATCCCACCAGTTCTTTGTCGCAGGCATAATGTTGTTGTTGTTGTTGTTGTTGTTGTTACAGATGTCACATGCAACTCCTGGAATGTTTACATCAGGAATGCTGCCTCTGAAAAATCCTGCAAATCTCTTGAGAAGACAAGCAGACAAATGTCAGTGTGGTGGAAGAAGCAAAGACCACCAGCATTGAAGCAGTGGTCCTCCGCCATCGACTCCGCTGGACCGGCCACGTTGTCTGGATGGCCAACCACCGCCTTCCAAAGCAGTTGCTCTACTCCGAACTGAACAGAAAACGGAATGTTGGTGGGCAGGAAAAGAGATTTAAAGATGGGCTAAAGCCAACCTTAAAAACTCTGGCATAGACACTGAGAACTGGGAAGCCCTGGCCCTTGAGCGCTCCAGCTGGAGGTCAGCTGTGACCAGCAGTGCTGCAGAATTTGAAGAGGCACAAATGGAGGGCGAAAGAGAGAAATGTGCCAAGAGGAAGATGCGTCAAGCCAACCCCGACCAAGACCACTTTCCACCTGGAAACCAATGCCCTCACTGCAGGAGAAGATGCAGATCAAGAATAGGGCTCCACAGCCACCTACGGACCCACCACCAAGACACTACACTTGGAGGACCATCATCCTCGGACTACGAGGGATCCTAAGTAAGTAAGTAAATGAATATGGAAACACCTCCAAGATGAACTGAACCACCTCAACTGGGCTCTACAGGCCAATGGAGACTCCACCTCAGACATCAGAAGAGCTGCAAGACCAAGAACAAGCCATGAGAGTCAAGATGAAGATCCACCTAGAGGGAAAGTGTTCCTGCCATACATCAAGGGAACCACTGACCGCATAGGGAAGCTGATGAGGAAACACAACATACAAACAATCTACAAACCCACCAAGAAAATCCAACAAATGCTACGTTCAGCAAAGGACAAGAGGGATCCTCTCACTCTGCAGGAGTCTACCGTGTACCATGCAGCTGTGGACAAGTCTACATAGGGACCACCAAACGCAGCGCCCAGACACGCATCAAAGAACATGAAAGGCACTGCAGACTACTTCAACCAGAGAAGTCAGCCATAGCAGAGCACCTGATGAACCAGCCTGGACACAGCATATTATTGAGAACACAGAAATGCTGGACCACTCTCACTCCAACAACCACCATGTCAGACTACACAGAGAAGCCATTGAAATCCACAAGCATGTGGACAATTTCAACAGAAAGGAGGAGACCATGAAAATGAACAAAATCTGGCTACCAGTATTAAAAAAAACTCTAAAATTACAACAACAAAACAGCAGAGAGGAAACAACCAGGCACATCTTAACACCTCTCAACAGAACATTTTCCCAGGCGCAGCCAGGCCTTCAAATGCTAATGAAGGTGGTCAGCTGAAACATTCACACCTAGCTTCAGCAGAGAGCTCTTTGCCCCACCCCAGCCATTCCACAGATATATAAACCCATTTTCCTAATTTATTATTTATTTATTTATTTATTTGGGGTTCTTTTACCCCGCCCTTCTCACCCCGAAGGGGACTCAGGGCGGCTTACATAAGCGAAGGCACAATTTGATGCCTGCATCATAAAAACAATCATACACAAAATTACATCAATACACAGTTAACAACAAATATGCATTATAACCATAAAATCAATAAAACCAAATACAAACCCAATTTCTCCTCTTACATGGTCAGCGTTCGCTACTCATAGATCTAGTTTTACGTTCCACTTCATCAATCCTGCTGGTCTTACTCGCCTGGTTGTCTGATTTAATTGCCGGAGTGCCCAAAGGCCTGGTCCCATAACCAAGTCTTCACCCTTCTCCTAAAGGCGAGGAGGGATGATGATGCCCTGATTTCCCCCGGGAGTGAGTTCCACAGGTGAGGGGCCACCACTGAGAAAGCCCTGCTCCTCGTCCCCACCAGCCTCACTTGTGACAGAGGCGGGGCCGAGAGCAGGGCCTCCCCAGATGATCTCAGACTCAGAGGTGGGACGTAGAGGGAGATACGTTCGGACAGATACACTGGACCGGAACCGTACAGGGTTTGGTAGGAATGAAAAGAAAAAGGAAGAGGGGCCAACCAAGGTTCCAACAGACCTCACTACCTCTGAGGATGATTGCCAAAGTGCAGGTGAAACGTCAGGAGAGAATGCCTCTAGACCATGGCCATACAGCCCAAAAAACCCACAAGAACTTAGTAAGTATTATTATGTTTGGGACTCGAAGTCCCAGCCTGCTTGTCCAGTGGTCAGGAATTCTGGGAGTTGGAGTCCCAAACATCCAAACAGCTGTGCAGGCCTGCTTTGAGGGAATCCAGACCTGCCAAGTGGGCAGGAACCCCGGCTTCAGTCAACCCCAGGGGTTCAAAACTACCTTTCCATAGATCCAGGCCCTCCCCTGGCTCCCTGCGCCTTGTAGGGACCCTCTCAGGCCTACCTGACACAAAGGTAAACCCCCCTGAAGTCTGTGGAGTTTATTTTGGAGTGGAAAACCACTCCAAAGTCGCAGCTAACGACATGGGGGACGGGAAATGAAGGTGCGCCTCCCGAAAAGGCCTGCTCACCCTCCTCCAAGGGCTCCAGCGGGGTCCCAATGCAAACCAGGTCCGCCTCCTCCTCATCGTCGCTCCCACCCGCCGCCATCTTGGCCAGCCCTGGGGCGGAGTTTGATTGGCCCGCCTCCCATTCCCCGCCTCCTCCTCCCATTGGTGGGCTCCCTAAGCCGAGCCTATCCGGAGGGGGTAGGGTTTGATTGCCCCGCTTTCTGGCCACGCCCCCTCCTCCTCCCATTGGTGGACTGAGCTCAAGCTATCCTGCTCTAGTTAGAAAAAAGGCATGAATGGATTCAGAGCTGTGATGGCCAAACTCTAGGCCTCCAAGTGCTTTGGACTTCAACTCCCAGAATTCCTCACTGTTGGCCAGTCTGAGTAGGGATTCTGGGAACTGAAGTCCAAAGGACCTGGAGGACCAAAGTATCTATTTATTTATATTTATATCCCACTTATACAGAGACTCAAGGCGGCTCACAATCAAAAACATTACAAGTGAAAATATACAAATATACAACAATAAAACAGCATATCATTATAAATTATCACTAATATTATATTTCATTTATTAGTCTTATTATTTTACAATATTATTTGATATTATATTGTATTATTAGTATATTACATTGCATTATAGTATTATTATTGTGCAGGTACAACTGCACCAGGAGCTCCAATTTTGTTTGCTTTGCATTTAATGTTTGTTGTAGTCCTAAGTTTCAGGGACTCTGCAGATAGGTGGCTTCTTTTGGCTGCAATCATAGGGCAAGCCACCTGTCAATTATAGTTAGGTTCCCTGGTCCCGCCCCCTTTTTGGGTTTTAGAGGGAATAGGAGCCAGTTTGGGTTCAGTCCACACAGAGAAGCCTTTCATGCAGGACATAATACCAAGAGCTCCTGTAGAAAGCTTCGTCTTCTACGGCTTGGCTGGGGAGATATACAGCCCACAGCTTGGCTGGGGTTATACAGCCCTGCAGCTCCTTCACTGAGGGACTTTTTCCCTGGAAGTCTACAAACCTCTGCTTGGTAAGGATCACTCGCGGAAGCCAGAAGCAGTTGGTACCGGGTGCAGGGGCTCCACGCCAACAGAGGCAAAGACAGACTGCCCAGATTAGAAGTTAAGGATTTCCCTATTAGCTAAAATACAGTTTATAAAGATAGTGCCTGTTCCCTATATTGGACAAGATTGAGAGAGAGCCAATAGACTGTTAAGAAAGCTTTAAAGTACCTGTTTGTTTTCATCAATAAAGAACTTGTTGAACCTTTAAGCAATCTAAAGACTCTGTTTTAAGGAAATCCAAGGGCCTTTAATCTGAGGCAGCCCCGGCATCCCGTTGGGCACACAGAATTTATGTCCTGTCTACAGTCTTATGCACAGGCCCAGCGTGCGATAGCACAATTATATGTTTACCATATTAATAGGATAGCACAATATTAGCATTATATATTATTATATTGTACTATACCATCATACTGCAATATTATTAGTAATATTACATGTCATATATAATATACAATTATTATATTATTATATGTATTATTTTATTTTCCTATATTATTAGGACCCCCGGTGGAGCTGCTGAACTTGCTGACCAAAAGGTTGGCAGTTTGAATCCAGGGAGTAGGATGAGCTTCTGCTGTTAGCCCCAGTTTCTGCTAACCTAGCAGTTAAAAAACATGCAAGTGTGAGTAGATCCAGAGGTGGCCCTAGGTAATTTTCAATGGTAAGCAAACAGTATTTTGGCGCACCCCCCCCCCCCACAAACCAATCACTGATATATATTTTCTGTTCGTCATGGGAGTTCTGTGTGCCATATTTGGTTCAATTCCATCATTGATGGAGTTCAGAATGCTCTTTTATTGTAGGTGAACTATACATCCCAGTAACTACAACTCGCATATGTCAAAGTCTATTTTCCCCCAAGAGCGCCTCAAGAGTGCCCCTGGGCATAATCAACTATACTGCAAATGCTTACTTTGCGTAATGGGCTGAGCCGCCCCTAAGTAGATCAATAGGTATCGCTTCTGCAGAAAGGTAATGGTGCTCCATGCAGTCATCCTGGCCACATGACCTTGGAGGTGTCTACGGAAAACGCCAGCTCTTCGGCTTAGAAATGGAGATGAGCACCAACCCCCAGAGTCGGACATGACTAGACTTAATGTCAGGGGAAAACCTTTACCTTTACTATATTGTTATACCACAATATATATATAATACACTACTGTTAGTATACTATTAGTATTATATAATATATTGTACTATATCATAAGATATGTGTGTGTGTGTGTGTATTATGGTCAAAGTATTGACCACCTGATTAAGGAAAAGGTAACTTGAGGTGCATCTACACCAGACCTGGGCATACATCAGCCCTCCAAGTGTTTTGGACTCAGTCTCCGGCTGTTAGGGATGAAAGCAATTTGACACTGGCTTTACTGACATGAGGATGTGAGATTCTGCCTTGATATTCTAGATTCTATAACAGTGTAGAAGGGCCCCACAACAATCACGTGAAGATATTTGGCTTCTTAACTGAAGCTAATAGAGACTCTACCAAGCAACAGTTGCCTTGGGATGAAAAGATGAAGAGAAATGGGAATTTTAAAAATGGCTCGAATATTTGTCAGAGTATATGCTCCAAGACTGCATAACTGCAAGGAGAACAAAATATATGAATGTTCATCCAAAGGAGAACTAGGAGTTGAAGTGGAAAGAGCTTATAGCCAGAGCAAAAGGGAAAGGAACATATATTTTATTTATTTATTTATTTCATGCACTTTTACCCCACCCTTCTCCCCCTGAAGGGCGGGCCTCACACAAGCACCATACGATGCTGTCAACAAGTAAACAATTCAAAGTACAATTAAAGCATTAAAATCATTAGAACATTAAAAATCAATAAAACACATTATACAATTAATTAGATAGTAGATTATACATGTCGGTAAAACCAAATCCAAGTCTAGGCAGATTCAATGTCGTAAATATCCTAGGTCTTAATCAAACGCCTGGTCCCAGAGCCAAGTCTTCACTTGTCTTCTAAAGGACAGGAGGGAGGTGACCAACCTGATGTCCCTGGGGAGAGAATTCTACAGACGGTGGGCCACTACCGAGAAGACCCTGTCTCTCGTCCCCACCAACCGTGATTGAGATAATGGTGGGATCGAGAGCAGGGCCTCTCTTGAAGATCTTAAACTTCGTGATGGTTCATGGGATGAGATATGTTCGAATAGGTGGTCTGGGCCAGAACCGTTTAGGGTTTTAAAGGTTAAAACCAGCACTTTGAATTGTACTCGGAAGCTAATCGGCAGCCAGTGGAGTTGGCGCAACAAAGGAGTTGTATGTTCCCTGTACGTTGTTCCGGTGAGCAATCTCGGGCAGTCTTCAAAGGCAGCCCCACGTAGAGTGCGTTGCAGTAGTCTATTCGGGATGTAACAAGAGCATGGACCACCGTGGCCAAGTCAGACTTCTCTAGGAACTGAACCAAAAAATATTCATGATTGAACAAATAATATAAACCAATGAGTAGAGTCATCACTATTCCTCGAGGGAGTGGGAGGAAGGGAGAGGGAAGGAGGGAGAAAAATAGATAGGTATAAGTAATAGATGTATAGAACTGTAAAAGATAGAATGTAATCAACAGAATGTGTTATATGGGGTAAAAAATTGTATACTGTTGGGAGTATGCAAGGATGACAATGTTACAAATTACTTACATCTAACAAAAAAA